GCCTTGGGGCTGTCGCCCTCCTCAACATCAGCCTTGATGGTGGGAGCACGTCCGGGAACCGTGGCGGTACCATTCAGACTCTTCGCGGCATTGCCGTTCAGGCCGCTGTCTTGGGAGCCAGTCCTGCTACCGTTCAGTCCCGTACGTCCCATAGTTGAGGGCGAGGACATAAGGTAGCTTGAGCCAGCAGGAGGAGCACGCTTCTTCAGAGGCTTGATCTGAGCCGAGTTGGAATCGGCAAGCTTGAGAGCTTGCTGATCAACAGTGAACTGAATAGGAGCAGCAGCAGCCTGTGTGCGAAGGTAGTACATGCCGGTCTTGAGACCAAGTTTCCAACCTGCAAAGTGCATACTGGTGATCTTGCCCATCGTAGGGTCCTTCATGTGGATGTTCAGTGACTGGGACTGGTCAATGAAGGCACCTCGGTCAGCGGCCATCTGAACGACCTGGCGCTGAGAAATCTCCCAAACAGTCTTATACAGAGCCTTGACATCAGCAGGGATGTTGGGAATGTTCTGAATGGAACCATTCTCAGCAATGATGCGGTTCTTCATAGCATCGGACCACAGACCCATGTCGACAAGGTCCTTGAGCAACCAGGGGTTGACAACCTGGAACTCACCAGCGAGGACACGTCGCTGGTAGATGTTGGAGGTGTAGGGCTCGAAGCACTCGTTGTTGCCCAGAATCTGAGAGGTACTGGCAGTAGGCATAGGAGCAAGGAGCAGACTGTTACGGATACCGTGTGTCTTGACTTCCTCTCGAAGAGTCTCCCAGTCCCAGAGGTCAGAGGGCTTGACGTTCCACATGTCGAACTGGAGGATACCCTCAGAGGCGGGAGAGCCCTTGAAGGTGGAGTAGGGACCCTCCTCCTTGGCCAGCTGCACGGAGGCAGTGAGGGCAGCGTGGTAGATGGTCTCGAAGATCTGCTTGTTGAGCTCACGAGCCTCGGGTGACTCGAAGGGCATGCGCAGAGCAAGGAAAGCATCAGCAAGGCCCTGAACACCGAGACCAATGGGTCGGTGGCGCATGTTGCTGTTGCGAGCCTCCGGGACAGGGTAGTGGTTCACGTCGATGATCTTGTTCAGGTTGCGAATAACAACCTGACTGACCTCGTGCAACTTCTTGAAGTCGTAGCAGGCCTCATCGTAGTTGATGAAGGAAGGCAGAGCTAGAGAGGCAAGGTTGCAGACAGCGACCTCGTCAGGGGCACAATACTCAATAATTTCAGTGCACAGGTTAGAACTTCGGATGGTGCCGAGGTTCTTTTGGTTGCTCTTGCGGTTACAGGCATCCTTGTAGAGCATGAAAGGGTTTCCAGTCTCAGTCTGAGCCTCAAGAATGGCATACCAAAGCTTCTGAGCCTTGATAGTCTTGCGACCCTTGCCCTCCTTCTCGTATTTTTCGTAAAGAGCCTCGAACTCCTCACCGTAGCAGTCGGCGAGGCCAGGGCACTCGTTGGGGCACATCAGTGTCCAGTCACCGTTCTTTTCAACACGCTTCATAAAAAGATCAGGGATCCAAAGGGCGAGGAACAGGTCACGGGCACGGACCTCCTCCTTACCGTGGTTCTTTCGGAGATCAAGGAATTCGAAGACATCAGAGTGCCAAGGCTCGAGGTAGATGGCAAAAGCACCGGGTCGCTTGTTGCCACCCTGATCGACATAGCGAGCAGTGTTGTTGAAGACACGAAGCATAGGAACAACGCCGTTGGATGTACCGTTGGTACCGGCGATGTAGGAGCCAGTAGCACGAATACGGTGCACGTTCAGACCAATACCTCCAGCCATCTTGGAGATCATGGCACAGGTCTTGAGAGTATCGTAGATGCCCTCAATACTGTCGTCCTTCATATCGACCAAGAAGCAAGATGACAATTGGGGCTGAGGGGTACCAGCGTTGAAGAGTGTGGGAGAGGCATGTGTAAAGAATTTGCTGGACATCAGGTTGTATGTCTCCAAGACTCGCTCGATATCGTCACCCCAGATACCAACAGACACACGCATGATCATATGCTGAGGCCGCTCGACAATCTTACCGTCAATCTTGAGGAGGTAGGATCGCTCCAAAGTCTTGAAGCCAAAGTATTGGTATTGGAAATCGCGGTCATAGACAATGGCGGAGTCCAACTCCTCCTTGTGTCGCATGACGCACTCATAAGTCTCCTTGGAGATCATGGGTGACGGCCGGCCGTTCTTGGCGTTCACATAGTGGTAGAGGTCGCTCACAACAGCGGACCATTGCTTCTTGGTCTGCTTGTGAAGGTTGGAGACGGCAATACGGGCGGCAAGGATGGCATAGTCGGGATGTGTGACGGTCATGTACGCAGCAGTCTCAGCGGCCTAGAGGGTCAATTAGCTGGTGTCTGGAGTAGTCATGATGAGCGAGTCACTTACAAGATCGTCCAATTGCACGGTGGTGACACCGCCGTAGACACCGGAGATAACCTTCTGGGTGATGGCAACGGGGTCAACGTGGTCCATGTCAAGACCGTAACACAGCCTCGAGACACGAGCAGTGATCTTGTCGAACTGGACGCGTTCTTGGCGTCCATCTAGTGAAGAAGTCAGTCATCATGAGTTCTCATGTTGCCAGATCATACATACCTCTCTTTCTGACGAACATGATGGTGGGTGAGGGAGGATAAGCGGGGAGGTCGGATTTGAGGTTATAGCAGGATCTATTCCTGCTGATAGAAGAGATTAAGAGGCAGAAGAGCGTCTGAAAGGGTATTGACGCTTCGATGAAAGAGAACGTGAGAATTATTACAAGATTCGTTGTATTTTGTTGTGGTTGTTGAGGAGATGAGAGATGCAAATTTCGCGAGGATGGTCGAGGTGGTTTTAAGGGAGGCGCGTCCAGAGACGCGACGCCAAGTTCTTAGCGCGACAAATACTGACAGGCATCGCCGCAATCCATTAAAATAGCCCCGCCTGAAACCTGAGGCAACGCCCCGTTTGATGCTTTGACTGGTAGATATGGAGGGTTATGCTGGTGATTGGATGGAGTTATAGGAATTCACTTGACTCGCATGAGTTTATTAAGGACAGAAATACTGTAATTTGTGGTTATTTCATACACCTTACGCCTGTAATGAACCAAAACTCTTACTCCCCTTTCCCACATAGCGTCCTCGCGTTCCCTAGTCATTTTGCGTTGCTGCAGCGCTTGGTGGGGTTCAATGGGGGGCAGACACCGGCGCGAAATCACGTGAAGTCCATGCGAATTAATAATTGTCTTCAATGGCTCTCGTAAGCAAGAGAGTGTCTGTGGAATTAACTGAGCTTGGACCTTGAACTGAGGTTGACGGGAGGATGAGACCTTAAACGAAAGCGTAGATCAAAGAGCCAATCATCAACGTGAATCGAGACTACCTTCCTGTTTTACGTTCATGAGTCTAAAAAAAAAAAGGCATTTAGAGAGTACGGTTGCAAGGCAGCAACAAGTCAGTGACTCACGGTTGAGTCAAACAAGAGACGTTCAAGATCAATGACATCGAGACCTCTCTTTCACTGTTTTCAATCTTCAGCAAGAACTGGTTTCAAGACGTCAAGTCTCAGATTTCAAGCCTCGCAATTCCGCAATATGGCTTCTTCACCAACGCTTCAGCCCGCTGAGGGCTCCAGTTACAAACCTAGATACATCGATGTATGTCAATTCACTCATTATTTATCTGACTCCACCACATATAGGTAGATATCCGATATCAGATCCCGTTAACACATAGCGTTACTAGTAGATTGGTATCAACTTGACCGATCCTATCTTCCGTGGCAGATACCATGGCAAGGAGCGACATCCCGACGATCTCGATGCTATTATTGGAAGAGCCCGCGAAGTTGGTTGTACAAAACTTATAGTGACCGGCTCGGACCTCGGCAACTCTCGAGATGCCCTCACCCTTGCCAAAGATTATCGTGAGTCTCACCCCTGTTTATCAATCTGATAACAAGACTAACATCACCCACAGCTGGAACTATCTTTGGGACTGCAGGCATTCATCCCTGTAGCAGCTCCGTCTTCAGTGAAGCGGGCCATTCTCATGAGTCTGAGCACACAACACCATGTGATCCCGATCCTTCAGCTCCGGTCTCGGAAGAGCACCCTCCTTGCCCAACAAAGACTGGGAGACTCATCAGAGACCTGACTTCTTTGGTGACAGAGGCCCAGGCATCAGGCCAGAAGAGCCTTGTGGCTATGGGTGAGTTTGGGCTTGACTATGACCGATTACATTACTGCTCCAAGAGCATCCAGCTCCATTCCTTTGCAGCTCAGCTCCAGGTTGCTGCGTCGATATCTCCTCAGCTCCCCTTGTTCCTCCATTCTCGCGCGGCTCACAATGACTTTGTTCGGCTTCTGAAGGAGGCTTTTGGTGAGAAGCTAGAGAACTTGGAGAAGGGCGGCGTGGTGCATAGTTTTACTGGCACAGCCGAGGAGATGCGCGAGTTGATGGACTTGGGTTTATACATTGGTATCAATGGGTGCAGCTTCAAGACTGTAGAGAACTGTGCTGTTGTCAAGGAGGTTCACCTCGACCGTCTTATGATTGAGACCGACGGACCATGGTGTGAGGTACGACCAAGCCACGAGGGCTACAAGTACCTGATCGAGAAGAAGGAGACGCCTGTTACCGAGAACCAGCAGAATGGAACTACCTCTACCCCTGAATCTGCACAAAAACAGCAAAAGCAGTCGAAGAAGAACCAGAAGAAAGAGCCTGAGGTTCCAGAACGATATAAGACTGTCAAGAAGGAGAAGTGGGAAGAGGGAGCCATGGTGAAGGGGCGCAACGAGCCTTGCAATATCGAGCGTGTTGCCAAGATCATCGCAGGTATCAAGGGAGTTAGTGTCGAGGAAGTTTGTGAAGCTGCATGGAAGAACACAGTGGCAGTTTTCGGACTGGAAGAGAACTAAGAGTTGGTTGACCAGTCATGCCGTCATGGGGGTATCAAATAGAAAAGAAAGACATAGACCATGCGCCGTTATAGATCCAACACTTTTCACATCCCTGAGCCCTTGTATCCACGTATTCTTCCATGCCTTACAAGTCCTGTTGTTACCCCCTCCTCCCCTGTCATCCATCCGGGCATTCGCTCTCCATCTATTATCCCAGCCTCTACAAGTTGCCGTACGCCAGCCCATACGTGTGTTCCAGAAAACGTTACTTTGATAGTTGGTGTCCATCGATCTGAAGAGTTAGTATCGTTGTTGTCTTCTTCTGCTGCGATATTCGCCTCTCGAATAACGGCCGTAATCTTGCTCTTTCGTCGACTTTTGCTCCCTGCCGTGGCGTCATTTTCATTCTCTTCTGCATCGCCAATATCTTCACTTGTAGAAGGAAATGGATCTTGTATGACGATGTCAACCTTTTCCACTCCCTTACCATCAGTGACAATACCCGAATCGCCGAATCGAGCCTTGGCAACCAATTTCGATTTCTTCGCAACCCGTTCTGATTCAGTTAATGACGCTCCCCGCTTGGGACCGAGACTTGAGGACGATGATTCCCGAGAGAGTGGTGGAGTTGGAATAACGGTATCTAATGGAGATATCTTTGTGGCTTCGTTAGAGTAGATGCTCCAGCCACCTCCTGCAGAATTTGTGCGTCCAGATCCCTTCTTTTCTAGAAGTGCATCCAAGTTCTTGCTTTGAAGGTTTGCTGATTTGAGAGTGTATCGTTCACGGGGGCGTGAGAGAGCCTTGGGTACTCCATCCACGATCAAGCTATGCAAGCTTTTAGACTCTCCTGAGCCAGTGCTACCTGTGGCTTGCGATCTCGTAATGTACAAAGCAGGTGATCCGTCGGGAAACGCAATGTACACTGTCCGTGAAGAATCGAAGTTTGTTGCTGTACCACTTGGATCCCGACTTGAAAGAGCAAAGTCTGTGTTGTAGGGTGAATCTATGATGAAAATGCGCAGTAGTAGAACAGGGATGGCTGTAGGTCGGTGAAAGTGATAATGTGCCTTGACGTCCGGTAGCACATGGGTTTGGAGGTTTTGGAGAAATGTTGACGGATGAAAACGAGGTATTGTCAAACTTTCTTGGTCGACTTTGAGCACCTGATCCTCGCCAGCATCTTGAGAAGGCTGCTTAAGAGGTAGGATCTGATAGGCCGACCATTTTTGAGATGTTGGATTCTGTTCGAAATAGGCCATATCAGCCATGGCTAGTTGATATAATGTCAGGCCTAGTCTCCAATCACCCTCAACAATCCGGCTGACAGCATCTCTTTTTGACCCTTTTTGTTGCTGCATGTCGATATAAAGTTGTTGTAATTCGTCAATACTTTGACAAGGAGGGTAAAGGTCGTCATTTTCTTCATCATCGTCCTCCTCCCTCCTCTCAATGTAAGGAATAGAATTCGGGAGACTCTCATCGTCAAGCCAATCTAATGCCAGGGAAATAAGAGACTCTCGTGAGAGTCTATTGAGACTCTTGACAACAGCAGGATTGGATGCATCAACTCGTAATGAGGATGGAAGCCTGGCTTTTGTTGGGATAGAGAAGCGGGCCATTGTTGTTTGCTTGGTTGTTTTGTGTTTACAATGGTAAAGTCACAGTAACCATAATTGAGATGTCAAAGCAAGTGTTGAGCAAAATCGTAAGGTTGCCCCGCCGATTGATGTCTAACTGGGTTGGGGTGATTAACTGGCCCTTTGGACAGATTAAGTCGATAAACAATGCTTGAATGCTTCGATAAGACACGATATTCGCTTTGGAGTCGCGTCTCAAACCAATCCGACCAAGCACAATTGAATGCACGGACCAGCAATGGTTCCGGACAGATACATCTGGTATACCGATCACGTGCCAAATCACGTGAGATATCACTCATCCTACAACTTGAACTACAGATTTGAGGGTTCGAAACTTATCTGGATACGTGCTTAATAACAAGTGAGACACCCAATATGCCTGAACAGCTTCAGGGCGCATTTGCCGCTTTTCTTCGGGACAAAATGCTCCTTTCATAAGAAATCGAAACCAACGACTCGGCTCTAACGATGGGTCAACTCGGACATGATCGTGGGCCGACTCGGAGAAGTAGTTGACTTGAATTGATTGGTTCAGAGTTTCCAGTGCCTCATAGCTCTTGTCAAAAACCAGATAACCGTGGTTCCACTTCCAAGGGGTTCTGATGACGGGCTGACTTCAGGGTCCAATAGCCCTGATGGACTTTACCTTTGGAAGTCATCGCTCATCTTGACCTCGATGTAATGGGGCAAATCATTGACGACATCCGCGGGCCGCGCTGGGAATTGATTTTCTGTGTCTGCTCAAGACTCTCTCTGGATTGGCTTCACAAATGCCCCCACGTAGTCGAGGGGCATGGGCTATGACGTTTCGACAGGATCCTGCAGATCTGTCCGGCAGATTTTTCAAGACGAGCTAAGGATTGAAGGAACAAACGCATCGAGGATCGTGTAGTGTAATACAAGTGATGCCTCGAAAGGAACAACAACTCCGAGGTGTAACGGAGGGTAATATGCCCGTAATGTGCCTATCTCCAGAGCCTCAATAATATGTGCCATAGTTTTCTTCTGGCGACCTGGGGCCGCAGACAAGCGAGTCGTTATTCAAACCGGGGACACTTTCTTTTTGGAGATTGAACGAGAAGGATTTCCACAAGAGATCCATTTCATTCCTGGGTCCCCAATTTTGACGGGGAGTTCGGGAAATGTCCGGATCCTGAGATTCAGAGTCGGCTCAACTCAAGGAATCGTACCGACCAACAAGAAGCTAACCAAGAGGTTCATGGTTGGATGATGGATCATGATCGACTTTGCCCACGCGCAAGCAAGGGATGACCTCCACTCGGTTCCAGCTTGCAGCCGCAAAAGCGCACGAGGGACCCTTGAGGCTGGATCATCTGCAACCCAACAAATAAAGACGAGGACCTGTCAGCCTGTCTGGGACTATCACAATGCATGAGCGTGATGAAGACCGTTAACCATGTATGTAAGTGGGGGCTAGCTCAGAAATCTGTACAGAACAGTGCCGTTATTTTACTTCTGGTCTTTGGAATGCTCAGTCTTGAGCAGAAGCAAGTGTCTTTCCAGCAACTTGAGCTTCCTCTCATTCCGAGGCTATCCAACTGCCGAATTTAAAATGAAACGTCCTTTGTGCGTGAAATTCGTTCACCGATTATTCGGCTCAGCGCAAGAAGCTAGAGTTAGCGAAAACCAAAACAACAGACTTGTAACGATACGGTTAGTTGAGTTGTTCGACTGAGCCAAAGAGCCGAACGAACTCCCCGAACCTGTCCGGAATCGCCACCTGCAGAGCAGCAGAAACGTTGCGGTGGCTTGGCTGATCGTATTTCCAAGTTCCATGGCGCTCTACTTCTTCTGTTGTGTCGGGTGAAGCTCCCTGTCGGCTGTGACACCAACGCCAAAGCCATGCACGAGTGGAGTGTCTCTTTGTCCCAGTTCATCCCTTTTGAGGTAAAGGAGAGCAAGCCAACCCACGCTGGTGTGATAATTTGTGAAATAATCACTCATTGGGATTGAGGGATTGGTGTTTTGACAAGGACGCCTCACATTCCGAAGCGGAGAGGGGACCGCAAGGAATAAGGACAACCCACGTTTTCAGATGAAAGCGAGAAAATCTGCAGATGAACGACAGGGGGCGGGGAGTTGAATTTCCACCATGGCTGATGGTTTGTGCCTAAGATGTAGAGTATAATTATGTAGTGCTCACACAAGGAATAATGCAAAGTGCAGTGCTTGAAGCGATGAGTTGTCTAACAAGACATCAACTTTGGTATCCATTCGTATTGATTTTTCATGTTCTCTAGAGAAATCCCGTCTTACTTACATCACAATTAACAGCTCAAACTGTCGTCGCTTGAGGTAGCCGTCCCCCTGTTATACTTGAGGGCTGGTGTAACTCTGGTTGGTGGTTGACGTGGGGGGTGAGAGGGGAAATCCATGACGGCTGGAACCATCATCTGCGTGATTGTTAAGCACGCCGACGGCCTGCAGGTAATACTTGCTCGGGGAAGCTTGGTAATCAGATTCTACACTATAAGCATATCGATCATGAATACCAGTTGACGGTTATTGAGTTGCGAAAAGGGCAACTGATTGAGATACTGAATAGAGTTCTACAATAAACCAGACTGCAAGAACAAAGAATGGGTAGCAAGCAACATAAATCATCCTGAGATGAGCATTGCGACATTCAAAGACTATGGTGCTATTCGCCGAAGAGACCCATGTTCTAGGCTCTCTCTTCAATCTCATCGCCAAAAAGGCTGGGTCGCATCCATTACAACCCACTAAACCTTTAGGAGATGCCACCCACTATCCCACGAATTGTCCAGTGACTGCCCTCAGCTCACTACCCACTCCGTGGTGGCTTCGGCGGCAATCGGCCTCAACTCGCAAGTACCTCAGCATCCACTTTGAGAAAACCAACTTGACTGCCTGTTCTTTCTTCCTCCACTTCCTCCCCTCAAATTCCCCCAGAATCAACCTCGGAATACATTCACTGTTAGTTTCGATACTGGAAGTCGACGACAACACCACGAGCGATCGCTCAAGTATATCACCGACTGCGACGGCCATCAACTTGTGATTGTGGCTGTGACTGTCTTTATTGAGTCACCAGGGCCTCTGCAAATTTGTCCATACAAAACCCCGCTCATTCTCGCTGAGCCGCTTTCGGAACCGATACCGAACGAAACGTCGACCATCGATTGAAGGGACGACGAGGAATTAATATTGCTATTGGAGAAAATATTGCAAGAAAGAGTTATTGACCTCGATTGCATCTACCGAAATGTCAAACTTCAACGGTCGTCGCGGCCCCAATGTGTCGCAGTATCTTCGCGACCTCAACGCCATCAACCGTCAGGAGACTGCACACGAGGAGCCTTTCAACATGGAGGAGGATCTCGCTCTTTTCACCAACACTCAGTTCTTCGACTTTGAGACTGGTCAGAACACCGATTATCAGGCTCAACCTCTGAAGGTTGATATGGAGGCTCCTCAAAGCACCTCGCCTTCTGATGGAATGACCCCGGCCCCCTCTGTTGTTGGCGATATCAACCCCAGCAGCTTTGATTTCATTCAGAGTGAGTTTTACCATCTCTGTTGTATGGCATTTGTTTCCCCATAGCCGCGCCAGGTTGAAAAGAAGAGTTGGAAACATGGAAAATGAGACAAAGATCGAGACAAGACGGGAGCATTGGTTTCATCACAAAAAGTAGAGATTGTTTCTCAATTTCTCGCCTATAAAGATGTCACAAATGAGCCGATCTACGTCTTGTTTCGTTTTTGTTGTCGCTCATATTTTTCTCTTCTCTCCACCAGACGTGTGGCCACTGTCCAAGCGGATAGTCAAAATCCTGGCCTCAGACACCCTGACCCTGAAATTGGCAACGAACAGCGTCTCTACCCCTTCAGTAACAATTAACCTTACTACCCCCACCTTCCCTTGAGAGCCCTGCTCCCGATGTGCATCACGCCCTTCTGTTATTGGGGGCAAGTTGTCCCTCGATGCAAGCCTACTTGAGTGTGGCCCGCCTGGGATCCCCAGCTCGATATCAGTGGCTGGATGACGGTGGTGTCTATGGTGCAATATCTCGTGATTTACCGGCACTGATCACGACATCGACTTACACCCCTGCACCTCACAACCACTTCCCAAGTTGGGAAAGCCTGCTTCCCCAGGCCTCAAGGGCCTATGCAACACTATCTGCTACTCTTCAACTCTCAATGTCTACTATCTTCTTCTCGTCTTCGTCATGATACTTGACTCTTCTCGACATCAACTGACCACATTATGATGGCAGGCGATTTTAGCTTCCCCGACTTTACCAGCACCTATCCGTCTACCCCTTTGAACGGCTTCGCGGATGGTGCTCAGAACTTCCCATCTATGCAGCCTAACGCCCCCACGGGCTACCAGCCCGTCCAGCAGCAGCAACAAGCCCCCCATTACGGTCAGCAAGCTACTCCTCAGCCTTCAACCGAGAAGCGCGGCTCTGAGAGTGGCCCTGGTGCCGGTCGCGGAAGCCTCAACTTTGAGGAAGCCTCCCGTCATGCTGCCGAGGAGGACAAGCGAAGACGCAACACTGCTGCTAGTGCCCGCTTCCGCATCAAGAAGAAGCAACGTGAGCAAGCCCTCGAGAAGTCCGCTAAGGAGATGTCCGAGAAGGTCTCCGTCCTGGAGAGCAAGGTCCAACAGCTTGAGATGGAGAACAAGTGGCTCAAGAATCTCCTTGTTGAAAAGAACGAAGGCAACGACGAGATTGTCACATTATGGAAGGAGTTTGCCGCGTCCAAGTCTACTGACAAGTCCGAGTCAAAAGCTAAGTCCACCGTCAAGGAGGAGACAAGGTGATCCGACGTATAGCGTTGGGGAAGACAATAAGGTGACAAAGACGGGCGGCGTTCTGGCTCGGAGCATCTGGGGAAGGCAAGGTGGCGTTTAATTCTGATCTTTTCAACAACGTCTGGGATACATGGTGCATGATGATGAGGCACCGAGGCTAGCCATCAAGGCTGCCCGGTATGGTGCACAACCTAAAATATCGCGAGGTTTCGCGAGGTGATGTTCCGCGGATGACGATATGATGGATATACATGGTTGTTTGAAGGCAACTGATAGAGACCAGTCCCTGGGTTCGGATGACAGGACAAACTGGGAGGACTTTTTTGTTTTGCAATGATATCAGCGGGTATACGATACATCGTTTCCGTAACTAGTTTCTTAAGGTTCAACGCGTTCAAAGAGTATGTTATGTGTCTGAGATGAGTCATAATGTCATCCATTGCATCTAATGTCCAGTATCCTAATCACCATCCGACCATCCGAGAGCCTCTATTATGTCTCGTGGACCATTAAATCACCCTCATTTCTCGACATTGGCGTCTGACTTTTGATCCTCCTCCGCTTTCTTAGCCTTAAGAACATCCATCCTCTCCTTATTCCTCTTTCCCAACAATCTCAACGTCTGCGCCCTCTCATGCTCCGTCATACCCGCCCAGTTTCCAATCCTACCCATAGTGCCATCTGTGTTTACAACGAGGGGGCCCATGGCGTCGAGCTTAACAGACTCGCCCACGCGCAGAGACGTCACGTCATCGCCCTGGTCTGCGGCGGCGTGTTCTGGGGCTGGAAGAGGAAGTGGTGTCTTGTTGGTATCCTTAGCTTCGCTGGACCCTGTCTGCGCTTGATGATCGTTGTTGGACATTGTACTGGAGAAGCGAGGTGCGAATGTAGTGTTGTATAGACGAGTGATTGTAAGGCGTGGGAGCCGCTTGAGCATAATGTGGTTGAATTGGTGTAGCTTCACTTGGTGAGTGAGAGTGCTTTGTGAGTAGATCAAAGCACGGAACTCTCACTATATGATAAGTCTTGTTTGAATTGACAGACTTTTTGAGTCTGATTGAGTCTGTGGTTTTCTATTGATGGATTATTATACTGAGAAGTTGAAGGGCAATGTGAGAGCGTTGTGGAATTAAGTTTGGCGGAGGATAGAAAAAAATGGAAGCCGATAGAGAAGGCCAGCCACTAAGAATCCCTGCGCCAATTCTAGAACTAGTCGCTCGATCCTCTTCCATATTCCAGCACTCGAACAACCAGAATGGATCGAGATTTATGACCTAATTATCATAAGATATCTGAAAACATCTTATTATCGTAGTAGTTGGTCGAATTCCGCCCATGTTGGGAGAAGCATTACAGTTGTTCGTATTGGTCAACTACCAGAACACCATAAGCTGCACAGTTAGTTACAGTGGGGGACTCGACCTCACATCAAGGATTATCCACAGCGGGTATCGTCCTTTCGGCCATTTTTGCTTGTTTGATAAAGAGATCGGGACTTTTGAGCGAGATGTGCGGGTAGATCTACGCCTCAGTGCAATGCCGCCATCACCTTAACTTCTGATAGGATCATCCCCTTCGAAAGGCTGATTCAGGGTCTCATCCGAACGGGAGCAGGGGCGATGGCGAGATGAGCTGGATGAGGAACTTGAGGGAAGAATAAGGCGTGATAGATGCATCTGCATAGATGCGGCGGTCTAGAGTTCATGTGTGTCGTCTTTATGCTCAGCGTGGGGTAAATTGCCAAAAGGGTGTGAATGATGGAGAGGAGAGTATTTAGTAAGACCATGATCAAGTGACAGAAGACTAATTATAGTTCTCAAGTAATATCGAAGAATCCGGGACGAGTACGATTCATCAGAGCAATGACGATGGATATAACTGTCTGAGACGGTCTAGCACACCCCTCCATCTATGAAAAGGTGATTTCTTTCAACACTAATTCTCGTGTAACCTCAGCTCAACTAGTGGTTAAGCTGCATACAGTTGCCATGCATAACAGTCATGGTAACACATTTCTGTCCCTCAGACATGATACCTTAAGGCGTCTCAAAGTTGACAAAGCACAAAGCCCCTTAACAGCCTGGCTCAGTCAATACAATAACACATAACTCATGAGGTTGAATGAGAATTTCAAGCAGTCACAAGTGTTGGTTGTTTTGGTGGATCACTTAATTGAGCTTTCGGTGCCTGCAGCGTGTTAGCTCTAATAAACCACAACGGCGAGATATTGATTGGACTGGAACTCACTTCTGAACAACACGTTCGATGGCATCCATTCCCATCTTGAGAACATCCATGCGGGGACCGTAAGAAAGTCGCACGAAGTGATGGCAAGGGGAGTCGAAAAGGTCACGGCGGCGCGAAGGGTTGAGATCGAAGAAGATTCCAGGCACAACGATAACCTTCTCAGCGAGGCAGGCCTGGAAAAAGTTGAGACCATCAGAAATGGACTCCGGGAGACCTTCGAGATTAAGCCAACTGGAAATGATTAGGCCAATGGATAAAGTCTGGGGTGTTGTTTAATGCCTTACAGGTAGAAAGTCGAGTCGGGCACGTATTTGATAACGAACCCCATCTCACGGAGACGTCGAACGACGAAGTCACGCTTGTCCTAAGGAACAGTTAGCCTTTCATGTCTTGTCTGCCTTCATCCGTAAGACCTACTCTGAAGTGAGACTGAAGGTGAATCATCTCGTTCTTGACCAGGCTGGGCTCAAGCATAGGGATGGCAGCTTCCTGGAAAGGATGGGAGGCGCCGCCATCCAAATAAGAACCGCATGAACCAATACTAATTCCCAGTTAGTCTCGCCTGTCCCAATCGAACAAACCACCGAAAATATCACCCAACCCCTGAGTGACACCAGCAATCTTTTGGAAGGAGACTTACGCATCAATGTATTCTGCAATGGTAAATTAGCCTGATTCTTTATCGTCTATTAATCGGCATGTGCTTACCCTTTGGTCCCAGGATCCAGGCAATCCTCCAGCCAGGCAAACGAAAGCGCTTGGTGAGGCCGTCGATGATGAGGACGTCGTCCTCGTTAACGTCCTCAACGTTACAGGCCGCACTGATTGTGCTCCCCGTGCAATTTTCAGCGTAAAAATACCCGCTGTAGAACTCGTCGGAGATGAATGTAGCTGTGAAGATGTTAGTACCAAGCATAGTTGAACCAATTTGGGGTGCAACAGCCAGGGAGGATGGTATGACCAGGGTGGGGCGCACGAACCTCTCTCACGACAAATGTCTTGAATCTCAGCGAGCTCTGGGTTTTGAACAACGCGCCCGGTTGGGTTACGAGGGTTAGACGTCAGGATGACTGAGGTACCGCGTGCAATCTCTTCAGCGATCTTGTCGGGGTGAATATGATAACCATCTTCCTCGGACAGAGGAACAGGAATAGCAGCAAACTGTGGGGGTCTGTTAGCTCTTTTTCGTCTAGTGTTCAATTAAACTCACGTTCTTGAACAAACTCAGCATCTCGTTGTAGGCTGTGTAATCCGGAAGGAAGAAAGACAGGTATGAGTTACCAAGAACAGCAGCAATGCGGATGAGACCAGCACGGCCACCAGGGACGATAGCAACATTCTCCCAGGTGTATTGACTCTCCTTGCCCTGGCGATGTTCCTCATTGTAAAGTCTGGCAACAGCCTCTCTCAAGGGCTTGATACCAGCGGTAGGACCGTACTCTCGGCCGGCCATCGAGATGTTGATGGTCTCGGGTCGGGGGAAGCAGCCCTCGATGTCATCCTCAACTTCAGGGGCACCCTGGCCAAGATTGGCCCACGATTCAGGATCCTCAAGGTAGCCGTACTCAGAGGCTCGCTCGGTACACCAGATAACACCAGTGGATGATCGGCTGGCATCGAGACCAGCATGAGGCATGTGTCCCTCATGAGCATTTCGGAATTGACGATGAACCTTGGATTGAAATTCTGATGTTCATTAGTATGAGGTTTGAAGTATACAAGGTAGGCAGAGTCGCGATATGTTGGTCGATGACGTTGTGGGGTAGCTAGCTGTTAGAAGCTGCAGCCAAGCTCCTGCTCCTGCCGCGTGTGTAAGGCGGCTAGGGGGGGAAATAAAACACGAGACTGGATTTTGGTGTAAGCCAGTCTCATGTATTTTTCCCCCCCGAGGGGCGGGTCTGGAGGGGTTCAGTTTATGGAGGGGCAAAACGGCAGGGATTGTGAGGGACAGAGAGGGGAAGGACCGCATCAGTGGCGCCGGGAGTGAGAGTGAAAAGGCGGGACGGTGAGGGGAGGTAAGAAAACGGTGAAGAGATTAATGAGGCTTTCGTTCTTGTTTTACCGTAAACAGCTCATCGAGTTGGAGAATGTGGTGGTGAGATAGCTAGAGGAAAGCCTCGAAGCTAGAGAGGTGCAACGATATGGCGAGAGCCAAGCTCCGCACAAAGAAGCCACAAAAGAGAGACAGATGCTTACCGTTGGTTGAAGGCTCAGTCGTACTGAAGCGTCGAGTGAGTGTCTTGGGGGCGCCAGTATGGCGGTTGATAGAGAACTTGCGGCCACTGAAAGACATGATGGCGGCGATGGAGAGGGAACAAGGGGAAGAAAGTTGAGAAAAGGTTGGAGTAGTATTTGATCAGGTAGTAGAGGTGATGGTTCCTAGTAGGACTAGGTTAGGTAATAGGATGCTGGCAAGACGGCTCTAGTGAGGCCCGGTCATGCAAGTCACAATAGTTGCGACAGCCAAATCAAGATGTCGGTGGGGGAGGAGATGATCTATCTCAAGAAGAGAAGAAAGGAGGGAGGGAGAGGAGGAAAACTCAATGTGGATGTTTACGGGGGATTGGATATAAGTGCAAAAAACCAGCAATGGCCTTGGTCACTAAAGGACAGAAAAATTCGGGGGTGGGACCTTTTAGGTTGCCTCTCCAGGTAATGTACCACAGCAGGAATAAAAGCATAAGAAAAGAAAAAAAGAGGCCATTCAGCGTCTAGAAACTGTAAACAGTGCCTGGTCAGTTGGTCTGTGAGGCCCCGGGAGCCAGGTGAGCATTGACCTGGGCTGCAAGGTGAAGGAGGTGGTGAAGAACAGAGCTGCAATTGGATTGGATTGGGCTGAACTGTATGCATCATGCATCACCCGTAACGGAAAACGGCATCTCTAGAGCCAATTCTTTGGCTGTGTAACTATCGTGTTGCGTGTTGAGGTAACCAGAATTTGCCCCAAGATCGAACATGATCGCCAAACAGCTCACACCGAGTGTCCAAAGCAGGACGCATAATCTCTCAAGCATGCCACTATTCGCAGCTTTGACGTTCCATTACAGCGTCAATCCTGGGGTAGATGCCCCCTTTTCGCAGCCTGATACGACATGTCATGTCGTTTGAAAGTCGAGACGCTTCTCTAACAGATATGCACGTTGTCAGTTCTGTCCAATCATTTGGGTTTTGCCCTACTTTTTCAAGTTTTCTCTTTATCGTTTGGCCCCCGCGCATTCATTTGAAGCCCAATAACACAAGCAAAGTGACGTACTGCTGCTATCCGTGAATGCTAGCTCAAGAGAGCTTAGGTGGGGGTAATATTGAGGTGAGCAAGGAATTCACCTCAATATCACCCACTCAGAATAACAATTTCAATTCTTATTGTTCCTTCAATTATTGTACATTCTCTTCCATCATATTCTGCCCAATCTCAACCTGACCGGGACATTTGAGTCCGGCCAAGACCCGCATACATTGGCATTGTGACGATCTCAGAGGGTCTAACCTCGATATCGTTACCTAAAACCCCAGTTTGGTCTCTTCCCTTACCCACAATGTCTCCGACCCCAGGACAGCGAGTCAAGCTCAACACCAACTGGTCCGGACCTTGGACTGCCGGCCCGGCCCCTAGCTTCAACTCCAACTCCAACGATCAACTCCAACACAGTCAGAACCTCAGGGCTCATTTCCTCACCGAGTGGAATGTCGCGCATCGGATCAATAGGGAAGCTCGGTGAGAAACCGAGCCTGAAGCACTCTAGAAGCTCGCTAGAACATCCAGAAAAAGATATCTTGTCCTGATAAAGCACAAGGAAGCTGCCCGGTTGGTCCCGATCTCGCGGGTCCGTGAGCCTCGAGAGACCACTTGCAACTTGTCGAATCATGAGACAGACACGTTACCAAGACATCGTGTGGAACGTTTTCGATACGGACGAGGGTTGGTATCTCCATGCTCACCGTGCTCACCTCGACTACGCCGCGGAACGGGACGGACTCGCCGTATAACGGCGATACGCACCGAGACTGTTTTGATTATTCGCGCAAGCAAACTGACAGGCATTATAGTCAGGAGTAACTGAGATACGCAGCAACATTTCTCCAGCAATACCTGAAAACGAGCTGTCGGCCTTGGCAAGTACTAGTAAATTAGTGAAGCTCTAGGGTATTAATGCTCGCCTGTGTTTACAACCAGTTCCTTTGGTTGGCAACTATCGTGGCAAACATAAGTCAAAGCAATAGGATAGACAGAGAAAGGAGAAAGCATTGGGATCATCTTTTTGATTTTGCCTCGATACATAATGTACCCATTCCCGCCCGGTTTCCTCAATAATTGACCACTACATTAACCTTGACCTAGAAGTCACCCCCATGCTCTATTAGATGATAAAGCGATACATCCAGCAAAAATATACATCATAGAGACATCGCATTATCATAAATACCTTATCGATGAGGCTATATACCTTCACTGGCCATCACTGCGAGTTGGAAACAGACCGCTTACATAACATCCAATTCTTAGCCGGAGGCACGTTTATTGTACATAGCTAGATAACGCGGGGCCACACATTCTCTCCCGTAATGAGGTGCAGCAACACAACTCCAACTTCGAAAAGCCAAGAAATTTCTTCAACATAATTATATATATATTATCCTGAGACCAGAAATATTCATAGTCGAGAAATTACACCAGTATTGGGTTTGAGACGACAATAAAAACCACCTTTCCGCTCTGTCAAAATGCTTGATATGAGCAGGACGTGCCCGATGCGACGCGCTCATCACCACGAGATGCAAAGTAGGTCACATTAAACGCACAAAAGTCAGTTCACACTGACAAACATCAAGGAAAATCGTGACGAAGCGGCTGTGAGGGGCGCGGGGAACTTGAAGAACAATTAGCTGTAGTCGTGCCATGAAGAAGGCTTGACGAATGGATGAAGAACGGATCGATGGAGCAAGAGTGCGGCCGGACAGAGGCTGGCTCAGACTCTGACGAGAGCGAGGTCACCGACCGACTCAACAAACACGGGTGCTTGCCTGCCCGCAAAGATCTCGCCTTCATTGAGAACGACCAATATTTCCACATGGCCAGCCGAATACGCGACGCCGAGCTCACATACCAACAGAGGGATGAATAAGCAATTGAGACTGGTTTGCCTCAGTATCTCATTGATCGATTGCTGAATTCAAGCTACTAGTTAACCAAGATTGGTTTGGCGATCGTGAGCGCCTATCCTGCATATGAGCCCACCTCAACCGAGGCTGATAAGACCGATGCAGCAAGAGAGCGTCTAGACAGAGGTTCTCAAGACCCCGAAGTCCGAGAGGACTCGTTCTCCAAGTCTGCGGGTGACCCGCCCACCATGGTTGAACACGACGATATCTCTGCAAAGGATATCTAGGACCTCGAACGCCTAGACGAGGATGACAAGGTTACCACTCGGTCTGCTACACTGCCGCTTGGCCAAGGACCAAGTGGAAGGCCACTTTCATTAACCCCTCAACCTATACATCATGATGTCACGGAAGCAGCTCTCTTGTCTGGAGATATCGATGAGACCGGTTGTGGAACACGAGCGCCAGTTCCCTCTATTGCTTTATCAGAGAATTTAACCAGCGAAGCTGCCTCCGATGGTGATGATGAGGGAACTATTTTAAAGACGCTCAAGTTGAGGAAAGGCACGTCGGCGTCGGATGAGCCCACCAAAACAGTGATTGCAGCATACAATCACGAGGACGTGCTAAACTTTAATGACGAGCCTCACGAGGTGCCTTTCCATGGTACCTATTTCAACAATGTCTGGACACCAGGCCGGCGTGGGTTGAGGTTGACAAATGGTGACATGAGGATTGTCCGAAAGTATGTGCGCGCCGGCCGTCTCTTTATCCCCCGAGATGGAGACAAGCATATGTCAGAGCGCTTACCGGCCGAGACCCCCGACCCAGAGAGCGCGACGTCTGCAGTTTATGTAGGTGTCTCTGGGGCCACGATACAGCATGTGTTTATGCGGGACAAGCTCAAGGTAAAAAGGGTCTCGTTCGAAGACAACACAGACAGTTTCGATCTGAAGGCTGAGCCTTCCCAGCATGTGGCGGGAATCAACACAATCTTCCATGAAGGTTGCACTGTGCCGGGAAACATCTCGCGACTAAACCGGTTCTTGAAGGACAAAGCCACGGTGTTCGAGGAGCAGCCAGCACCAATGGACAGGCTTGTGCGCCAACACAACCGCGTGCTTTAATATCTTCCTATCGAACCTGTCCAGAACCGCAGAGTCGGCGAAGATGCTGGACATCAGCCAGCTCATCATACCCTTTACAGAAGAGAGCTGGACTCGATACTCATCGGATGTATCTTGCCGCGCCCTTGGGGTCGTTGAACCTCCTAAGGAGCTAACTGACAGACTCAACATCTTCTTGGTAACTCATCCTCTGGACTCGAGGCTAAGAAATCCGGCAGTTCATGTTGTCCGCCTATACTTCAGGACTAAGAACTCTCCTACTCTGGAGTCGTGGGGCTTTCAGACGGTAACAGACCAATGCCAGCAGTCGATCTGGAGTTGTCCCGGCATGCCATCCCCGCGATATTTGACACAGCTGCTCGACTTCCCCGAGTTCTTAGCCCGGCATTACAAGCGGTACATGCAGCGTGTTTATCACCATACACCTACCAAGCATCGTGATCGACTTCGAAAAACTCCAGTAAGGCGTTCTTGTCTCACTCTCTGGAGATGCGGAGGCAATTGACATCATCTGGAAATGAATGAGAGGCATCGAGGGGCATGTGCCCTTTGACCGATCCCTGGAGCATTCGAGCCAGTCTTGGGCCGAACATGTCCAGAACTTCTCGGTAGCAAATGTCACAAGTGAGCAATTCCGTGCCCACCTCGAAACTCGAAACAAGATGAGAGTGGAGTTGGCAATCCGACAGGGAAAGAAACTACAGGACTTGGTGTATGACAGGGACCAAATGGTCTTCAGGTGGGATGGTATGATTCACGAGGTCATGAATGTAATGACTGAGGAGAGTCTACCAAACGTGGGCGACATCGAACCGCTGACGGCCAATGACGCCCTTACACAGGAGGGAGCCTCCCGAGCCATTCGATGAGCTGGTCGACGTGCAAGGATTGAAGACCTGGGACTCCTATCGAGCGCGTCAATAACACGACGCTATCACAGATCTCACCATTCCGGCGGTCGACTGGGAACCCCTGCTCAACACCCTCAGCGCAAAGAGACCAATCCAGGCTGAGGTTTTAGCCATGGTCGAATTCCTGTGGTACGACTTCGGCAAGGAGGTGGAAGACGGCGTCCGTATATTGATTGAAGCTTGATTCTGATGAGCTTGACGCGACGACAAAGGTCCAGCTCATACCGACACTCCCCACCGTTCTTGCACGGATCTAGTTCAAGCCTAACCTAAACTAACACAAGCTTAGGTCATGATATTAGAAGGGAAATCATGAATTTTAGGCTTTCCTTGTCTAATCTTAGGATATTTAGATAAATTTTTATGATTTTAGGATAAGTTTAGGCATAATTTTAGTAAAGATTATCCCCATTCTTCCCGTTTCCAGCGTGGAGCTGTGCCGACAATTTGCATGAATGTTCTCGACAAACCATTAGGACATGTTCTCCGGGGCAGTGAATAAGAAAGCCTCGTAAAGTTGTGAGAGTTCCATCAGAAAGCCGTTGTTTGTTTCCTGCGGAGGGATGATTCTTGTGTAGTGCCCTGTTTGAGGTGTCCTGATGAACAGTCAGAGATTCTTTCCTGCTTGGCGATGAACACAGTGTTGAAGTCTGAGGAGGTAGGCTCATTCATGAGAAGAGTACAAGTTGTCTCAACTTCGCCTGAAAGACAAATCTTAGTTGATTTCCCGCATTGCTTGTTGGCGCATTGGTGAGCCTGTATTGTGGAATAAGACAATAGACAAAGGGTTTTGACCAAGACTTAGCCTGCAAGAATATAAATTCCTAGTCCATCACCAAGTTGAGAGTCTAGTGCGATATACTTGTATGGTCGATACTCGGCTGGGTTTCCCTGGGCTGAGTTCCCACGATGTAGATTAAGGTGTGTCATCATCAGACCGTTGCAAAATATTGGTATGAATCATGGGGCTCGTCGTCACCAGACCAGGGATTTTCCTACATGCCTAACAGACGAACATTAGGGACAATATCCTCTTGGGTTACGAACCGGTAATTGTCTTCCCTCGTAATCGGTCTCATAGCCATAGCCTCAAGTTGGGCGAGGCGATCACGGCTTTCTCTTTTCGAAATGGAGGACTCGACATAAACTTTTCGGTTGCTCCACAAGAATCGGCTTCTCCCTGTAGGCTCTTGACCGAGTTTGCGCGAAGGGCTAGTTTTTGAAGGCCCGCATACTCTGGTGGCATGCGTGTCGCCACGTTGGCATAGACCAGGCGATGCGGGAAGTTGTAGGGATTTAGGGGAGGCCCAAGAGATCTGCAGGCTCAAGACTCAGTTTCCTAAGAGGTTTCTGTATAAGTCGCGGCATCTCAGAGAGAATATGATTTGACAGATCACCCAGGTTCATCTTTGGTATCAAGGCGCTGGGTAGTAACTCATCGCCATGGCTTGAGACATATCTCTTGAAAGGATCAGCGTCGATGACCCTGAAACGCCAACAGGCTTCTTCATTGTATCCGTGGCACACTCAAATATATAGCCTGCGCTGAAGGTTGAGGAAAGGCGACTACGGATTAGAAACCCAGTGTTTCGGGAGAACAAATTTGGTATTTCCTTTAGATCAACATTAGGACCTACTGTCTAGTAGAAGATAATTCTGCAGGAATTCCTACATGTACCTACCTCAGAAATGAGCAGTTTTACGAGGATGTGAACAATTAGGCAGGAAGTGACACTGGCCAGCACGTACCAGACATTATCTCACTCAAGGGGAAGGCGCTCAGCTCTCATACTTCAGTTGCCCCGCTCACAATCTTCTGCTTCTACTTTTCTACACTCGATCTTCTCATTTCGAGAAGCTTGGGTGAACAAAACATCCTCCATCTTCGATAATCCCCAACTCCTTCTTTGGCATCGCCAGCCGTCCCTGAAAACGCACAAGATACCTTCTCAGCATAAGAGACTCGGCCGTGGGTTTGTCCCAAAAGAACCCCGTGAACAACTCTCCAATATCCGGAGAACATTTTAAGAACAAGACAGGCAGACTGAGAAGCGCTCTGTTTCAAAAGACGGAAGAGAACTCGAACCAAAACGAACACGACCACTTGGTGGAATTACAACTCCAGCATAGTCAACCTAGACTCTCGAATCTTCGAAGAGCAACACAATGGATCACGTTGAGCCAAGTTTGGAAAGAATCAGGGTCAGGTTAAGCGGCCCCCAGTCGCTTACCACAGCTGAAATCGACCTGATCGCCCAACACCCTGAGTGGCTCACCACACTGGGCGAACGCGAGCGACTAACTTTGTCTGAGTCTCGCGCTCTTCGACTCCTCGAGGAAGCTTCGAGCGACTATCAAGTTAACCCCGGTCAGTATGCCCAGCTCGATCACTATCTCACAACCCATGGACAGTTACAGCGAATGATAGACGCTTCCAGAATGATGCAGCGTCTTTGGGCCCGGCAGAAGGTAGAAGATGAGGAGGCTGGACTAGTCGCCCGTACTGAGGAAGACGGCCCCCGTACATGGACTGAAGACCTAGCCACTTTTGCAAGAGGCTGTCTTAAAGCCCTCAGCGGCGAAACCGTCGACGTTGATGATGACATGGACGGACCACATTCCGGAACTGAGTTTGAAGAAGACACTTGCATGAGTCCTAATCTTCCGGAAATCACATACTTGTCACCTGAGTTCGCGAGACATATGCGAGATCAAATCCATGATCTCCCTTGCCGAGCAGTCGACTGGGATCGTCTTCTGGACATCTTGGAAGAAGAGGCACCCGCGAAGGAGGACGTTTTATCTGCCATCAGAGCCATAATGTGTGATTTGGTAGATGAGCTTATCAATGCCAGGACAATGTTGAGAAATCACATGCCTGAGGCCACTTCCAAGAAACAAGCGAATGTTATGCTTCAAGCACCGACCCATCTGGCTCGAATGGTTGGTGTCCTGGATCTCGAGCAAGATGGGAAGATCGATTCATATGCAGAATGGAAAAGTCTGGAGAAAGGTTTCCCTACCAAATACAAGGACTTATGGAACGATATCGACTACATGTGGCCAATTCTTGCTGATGTACGGGCTTGGGACGTCGTCACTCAAAACCTTCAGAACATCTACCAGTCTGATGCATGCATAGATCAAACGGAACTCCTTCTCCAGTTCTCAGTTGATTTGCATACCATCCGAGTTGATCGTCATTCAAAGGGCCATCCCCGCTTCTGAGTCTGGTTGAAATTCGGCCCATTAGGACCGAGATTTCGCCAACGGTCCAACGGTTACCAATATCTACTTCCCAGTCCCAGTCAAGTTAAGGATGGAGTCCCTCGTCATTTTCTTCATCTCATACAGTTGAGTTGTTCTTAAGACTTCATATTTTGGGCTCAACGTACGCCATCACACCCTCTACCGACAAAGTGGTCAATATGAAATAAGTACAAGAGTATTCAGTGATAAAAGGGGCTAGAACTTAGCAGTTCATGACAGATATAATAACCATAATAATAAAAGCTTCTTTCGATATGGTTCAACAGCTTTCGTTGAACTGATCTTGAAACTAAGAGTATGAAACAATATAAAGACAACGATCCAGAAAACTAATAGAACCAGTCGTGGTAAGATGCTTTCGAACTACCCGGAACTCTCAACCTAAAGTACCAGAGCCTGCCTTTCGGTATACATAAGCCCAGCTGGCTGACAAATATTTGAACGATAGTGGAATGTTCGAGGGACAGTTTTTCGGATGTTGATCTAGTAGCTTAGGTTGATAAATGGGGTTGTGTTGAGTGTTCTCCATCCCGGGAACAAATAGTAGAATTGTTCCTTGAACTGTGGTCGAACCTTTGTGACTTCCCCTCAAGACACTGTGTTTGAGGAACGCATCAAAACACCACTGTCTCATGTCCATATCGACTCTTTCCTCCTTGGGGAGGCGAGGGGATGTTTGGGCCATGGCGTGAACTCCAGGCATGGAATGCGTTGAGTTGTGCTGCAAGATCAGCAAATTGCCTGACTCCATGTGGTCGCAAGTAGATGTTGTATCCATTGAGAACACTGAGAACGAGCACCTCGGTGCTCCATTCAAGTTTGTGAGCCCCTATAATGGCGTTGTACCATACTGGATGGACGTATAATTTGGATTCCCGGGCGTCCTTTAGTGTCAAAGCTCATTGCCTTGAGCTGTAATATATATTTCAAGATGCCAACCTCAGACATCAGCCTAATTGTAAAATACATGTCGCTCTCGAAAGATTTATGAGTGTAGAGGCGGTAACAAAACCCAGGCTTGGTGTGATCTGCGCGACCTGCGCGCTGACGAGCGGCAGCTTGAGAGCTGGGACCCGTGAGAAGGGTCTCTAATCCTATGCGCGGGTTGTACCCAGCTTACTTAGAATTACCAAGATCTACCCTGTTAGATATACGCATTCGCAGATTTTATAAACACGAGGACGTACCTATAATATGAACTATTCCATCGATAGTTATGCTAGTGTCAGCAATATTCGTGGCACGCATGCATTTACGCTGTGTGCTCGTTTCGAAGATTCGGTCTTTCTGGCTCTGTGGTAGTTGATAGTACAGAGGCAAGATGTTGAGATCTCCCATTTCCTTGCGAAACAGAATGCAAGCTTCCTCAACCTCCTCAACGGACTGGAAGAAAACGAGTATATCCCCATCCTTTTCCTTTTCGTAGATATCCTAGACAATCATCAGAGCCACGTTGAAGACGGTCAGAACAGGTCACTTGAGGTACCTGATCTGGACGGGATGGTTTTTGCCACTTAGTGCAAAGTGTGTTGTCTTCTCGCTGCCGAAATAGCTTACAAACTTCTCCACGTCCAGCGTGGCCAACATAACCATCACCCTGAGATCCGAACGTTTGGAAGCTGCTCAACTTGAGCAAGGCCAGCAAGATATCTGTCGACAAGGTGCGCTCGTGAACCTCATGGATTATGATGCAGGCCTGTTACGATTAACGTTATACTCTGAAGCAAATAAGTTATGAACAAGGGAACATACGTAAAGGTTGAATGTTGAGTCTGCCTTGACCAGTTCAGTCAACATGCCGTCTGCCATGTAGCCAAGCTTGATCTTCAGCGGGTGGGCTTTGCGGTCGAAGCGCACAGCGTAGACAACCTCCTCTCCAACCTGGACGTCCATCTCGGCGGCGGTATGTGCGGCTACTGAAGTGGCTGCGATCCTACGAGGCTGGGTGCAGGCAATCTTTCCCGGTTTCTCCCATTCATTAGATAGGATGAACTGGAGGATCTGAGTTGTCTTTCCCGAACCTATCTCTCTAGACAGAACGATCACCTGTTGTAGAGTCAGATTGGCGCGAGGTGCACAGCAATATGGCACTCAAAGAACTTACCTGGTATTGGTGATAGGCGTCTAGGAACTCTTGTCTTCTGGAAGAGACAGGAAGGGCTCGCCGCTGCTTCAGCAGCTCGAATTACTTCTCCGAATGCTTTTCTCCCGGGCGGAAAGGATGATCATTTCCATCCTCGATTGCGATAGCCTAGGCGTCCGTTTTCTGGTTTCTTTCGAGCTTTCCCATCACTAAACAGGGGCTGTGGCGGATTCCCTGTTGTTTGTTATGAGTGTGACTGTCGTTGCTGTTAGTTTCTATGTCAGGGAGAGTGGAGAGAATTCTTTCGCACGCACCTTTTATGTTTCTCATTATAGTTGATACAATTCATCAGACAAATGCTGCGATAATAATATAGGGTTGCGGTCTACTTGGGTCCTGTCTTGGAGGCCATGCTCATGAGGTTTGAATGTCTCATAGCTTTGGCTGAATTGGCATAGCTCCATGGCAGTGACGGAAGCCTCTAGATCCAGCAGGCGGCGCACAAGAGACAACGGCAAGGCTCTCTTGTTTGCGGCCTCTTCGAGGCTTGGTTCGAGAGTAATTGCGTCATCCCCAGTATGGTCGACAAGGGGGATCTCAATGGCTCGTTCCTCCAACCCTTCCTAAGGGTCGCTGGGCTGCCAGTATGTGCGCCCCTCGAGGTTCAGGAACTTCCAACGGGTTCCCAGGGAGAAACGAGCACGGCCGATCAGCGGAGGTAGCTCGTCAACTTTGAAGCTCGAAGGTCCAACCCCAGGCGGGTGCTCATCACCCAAGAATCTGAACTCGTAAGCGGATTCAGTGACCCCCGCGAGGTATGAAGGGATGGCTTCTGCTGGGCCATGTTGCTGTCGCCACCTGATGAGAATAGTGTTCTCGATCACCTGGGTGCAGGGAAAATTACCCTCTTCATCCTTGATAAGATTCCGGCCCTCCGTGTCCGGTGGAGCGTGGTCGTCGGCAGTGGGTGGGATCTCCTCCAGCTTCATCTGGAGTGGATGTGTTGGGATCTTGCGCCGGGTCGCACGGGCGCGGTTCCCACGCATCCAGGTCGATTGCCTGGTCTTGGCTACTCCCGTGAGGAGATGATCCGCAAGAAGCAGAGGTCAAACTTGGCCATTTAGAGGAAGTAACAGTCGTGACAAGGTCTCCGTTGCATGCTGAGGAATGGTCGACAAAGTAATATAATTAATAGAGGAAGAAATAAAGTAAGAATAATGTGGAATATGAGAGAATGGTGGTTAATGTAGGGGAGGGTGCAGTGATTGTGATTGTGATAACAATGTTTGTGTGGTGCACAGAAAAGGGAAAATAAATTCTAACATGAAGAGTTTTAATGTCATAAGAGGATAACAAAAGACAAATGAAATCTTGCCCTCTTTTAATGCTTGTTGTGCTGCTGGTGCCCGTCCTAACACTGGCAACATAGTCCCCTGACACTGCTCGACAGCTGCCCGTCAGTGAGTTCTATCGTTTGTGACAATCATGAGAATTTAATTTCCGCAAGCTTATCACGTGGAATGCGTTTGCAGCTAAAGATTTATCTATTCTATGAGGTCTGGGGTGCTGTTGTCAACATTCGTGCAACCATCACCACTCCCACCATACAACATAATACTGGAAACCAATACACAGCAATAACAAACACGTTGTCTCCTTTGTCGTCTACGAGCAAAGTCAATCCATTAATCCTCAACTTTGCTCACGCCAGTCGCTACTGTTTGTTCCATTGCTTTCGCCATTCCGCCATCCGGTAATTGTGTCCTCACTTCAACATAACGAGAAGCTCATATGCAATGAAGCCCCCTCCACCAACACCGGAATGAGATCGACCACAAGGCTATTGACAACGGTCTGGTAGACAACCTTGAAACACTCGGCTACCAGATCCCAATATCAGACGCCATCAACTGCTACAAAAACACGGGATGTACTTGAGGATGTGCCGGGCAGATCAATCTGACCAAGTTCAGAGTGAAAATTGCCACCGAGTGCGCAAAGGAGGTACTTGATAGGACCATACTGCCGACAGAATGCACCATCATCTGCCACCGAGACTTCCAGTTCTATGGTGATATCATTGGCAAATGAGTATCTAGCCGATTAGTACTGGGATTCTGCTGAGCCGGATAAGCTTCACGTTGCTTTCTGTGCTAAAATGGAGCACACCGCGTCTGAATATACACATCGCCGTCTACTCATCGGTCCTGTCAGTGCACAGCGACCAGATGAGAAGATGGCTCTGGTCTCGCGACAGGTCCCAAGTCCCGATGAAAGGAACCAAGAGCACTGGGCTCAGACCTTTTTCCAGGTCGCCAAACGAGATGGTATCAAAGCTGAGATCAAAACCATCATATCGACCGATTTGCCCAAATTCGAGGCACAAGACTACTCTCGGTACTTTCACCCAGGCAGACCGATCCGAAAGCCTCGGGACCAGGATGAACGAGGAGTCAAGAAGGTCAATGATGTCTTTGACACGGACAACCCTGTCAAAAGTTCACCAAACCTTTTTTTCATTGGCATGATGGCATCCGGCTTAGCTGTTAGAGTGATGCCTGGAGAGGAGCTCGTCGAGCTCGGCATACCAATGAGAGAAGAAGAGAAGCAACAAGACCAGCAGGGCAAAGGGCCAAAGTACTACTGGCAGAGTGGTCGCCTGACTGGCGTCGACGCAGCAGCAGAGGCCGGTATCGCCAACCTGAGTATGAGTTCGTTAGTCACTCAAAGATGGACACCAACAACCATTCCGCTACTTGCTGCAGCCACTTCCTGCAGCACCCACGCCCTTTGGCCGCTGGTGTTGGTTGGAGTGGCCACGACCGCTTCCGACAATTTCAACTCCACGGACGTCATATCAAGCGTGATATTGTCGAGAATGAGCCATTCAGCAAGACGTTGCAGGCTACCTTGACTCTTGCCACTGAGACTGACGGAGCAACGACAACTATTCCACAGATGTAAATTGCCCTCGAGCCTAACCCGGTCTATTGATTACTGCAACTCGTTAGAAAAGATCAACAACAACAAGGTGGGACAATTGAAAGAAGAGGCAACAGTGTTCTTGCGCATATGATGGCCTCTGGTAATGTCCGACATCTCGCAACATCCATGTCTTATTGCTACAGCGTGTGTTAAGTCCCGCTGAGAACTCTTTTTACGTTGCTTCATATCTGTTCTTCAATATACTATAATAAACCATAACTTGGAAATGCTAGTCCAAGGCAAAGCCTCCAATGTTATGAGTGCGGCGAGCTTACTATTCTGGAGTGATTTGGAGGGAACTTAACGATAACAAAGACATATGGACAGCTGAGTATAAAGTTTTCAAGACACGAGGTTCATTCGTTCTCACTTCCATGACTCACAATGGGAAGCATATATGATCAAAGTTTGCATGATTCAAAGGATGTATGATTGCCCTGTAACTCAGCATCACGACAGTGAAAAGAAGACATTGATGTCTAAAGATCAAGAGCCTCGAAATCAGGAAACCCAGATATCGCCACCGTGTAAAATCGCTTCTGTGAATATGGGAATGCGGCTTTGAATTACAGCAGAGATTTTTTGACATTGTTTAATGTTCGCCCAGCAACTCCCCTGATCGTGAGTTAAAACTAACTTCTCTTAATTATTCTATCATATAAATGTTGTATACAAAGGGACAATGTGCACTTTGTATTTACTGTCCTGTCCTACAACCCCACATACTATGATATACCTTTCGTCTTTTCGGTAATGTGTTGAATATCAGAGCTGTCCAGTGTGCTGTAGGCGACAAAGGGGCGTCAGTGATTCACTTATATTCGTTTGTTCTTTGTGGTGTTCTTTGATTGTCTTTGTTTCACGGTTGGTTCCAAGTGGCCATGTTCACGTTTGAGTTTTCTAGACACTCAAGGTCAAGTCTAATAAATATATAGAAAAGGCGTGAATTCTTCAAGGTAAGATTTAGATAAAGTTTCTCAAGAAAACTTCTAAAGGGCATGAATTTAACAATGGACCGTCTACTCTATAATTTCTCTTCCCTCTTGTCAAAGATTTTCTTTGACCCAACAATGCCTTCAAAATCCCAACTTACACAGTCCCGACCGATTCTTGATTTGGAAGCCCATAACATACAATCGAAGGCTACGGAGGACATTCAAGAGCCTCTATTAACCACAAATATGGCATTTGGTGCTGTTACTGTTGAGACTCCCTTCAATGAGCCCGAGAATGGCAGGGTCTTAATCCTTAATGGGCTCCCAGGCACGGGAAAAACAAGTATTGTGAAGAACCTCAAGGAAAAACTCTCCGGTCAGAAGATTCAGATAGTCGACAGCCCCATAATGGCCGGACCAGTGTGCCCTCACGCATATCAGCGAGGGTATCGATCAGCTTACCTTCATGAGATCCGAAGATTGGCAGACCAGGGCTACACCCTCCTGGTGACAGCTTCTCTGGCGAACAATATATCGAGCCAGCAAGTTATTGAAGACATCCTTCGAATTGTCTGCGGGAAAGACATCTCCATGTTCTGGATCAACATTAACCGCCAAGAAGTCGTACAAGATGGACAAATATCGAACTCAGCCTGTTTGACGAACGGCGAGTCGAAGCCAGAAAATTCTAATGTCTTGCCTACCACCGCCAAGCGAGGTCAACTTGTTCTTCCTTCAAGTCTAGGGCATAAGCTGGATGGTATCAGCTTGGTCACTCGAGTGATGAATTTGGGGAATGGCATCGAGGACGCAATCAAGAAGGTCTCGGAGGTTATGGCCCGAGAGGACATGAGACCATAAGGCTTTGCTTTTCCTTTTGTTCCTTTTCGTAGAAGTCTTGGAGTCTGGACATTTCATGATACCCGATTTTGTTCTTTGGCATACCATTGATACCACACACACAATCACATTTGCTGGATTTTGGAGCACACGAGACAGCACAAATAAACAATAGTGCAGATTAGGAATTTACAACAGCATTAAAACCATGTTCCATGACTATTTGCATCCGTGTAATTATTGAATCGAAGTGTCACGCGCCTGAATCAGTTGGTTGCAAACGTGCAACACCATACCCTGGATCGTGATACCATCAAACAAGCATTCCTACGCCAATGCGAGTAAGACAAAACAAGGGAATTAATAATGTCATCATCGGAAACAACGGAACTCAGCTGGGCCCAATAGAGCGGTCTACCCATGATTATAAGACATGCTACGTTGTCGGTGAGCATTGTACTGTGAATGCGAGGCACAGGGAAGCTGCATAAGAGATTACTTGGCTCAGTTCGTTTGTACAAGCATAATTCTAGGCATAGCTCTATTTTCAGAATTAGGAACACACACGTCTTTCCTGACTCAATCGACTCAATCAACGGAGAAATTCATTGGAATGTGATGGTATGTCTGAAGTGACAACCATGTTCCCAGAGGCCAAGACAGCATTATTCATGAACGGCGAAATAGTAAGCCGTAGCAGTTGAAAAAATCTGAAATGTCGAATTTTTAGCATTACCGAGAGAAGGATCGACAAGCAGCAAACGAGACCGACGTCCAAGCGAGCCTGTCCCTCGGGGTTAACGGAGAGACTATTGACTATCTCGGCGTCTGTATAGTTTGACAGACCGGGAGTACAGTAAAGCACAGAATGCACGTGGGTAAGTGCGCAACGGAAAGAAATATCATCATCAGCAGAGGGGAAAAGCAAAAGCAAGCCCTGGCTAATAAGGACATGGGCCTTTTATTAGACGCGGATCAGGAGGACGGGATAACGAGTATGGACCGGGGGAGAAGAGAATTAGGTAAGGACCTCGCCTAACAATCAATTGCCTTGCCTTGGTTTGCTTTGGATTGATGAGAGGCTTTTGTTCTATACGAGATGAGCGATGACATGTCTCAATTGACAGGTCGAGTGCAGTATCTGATTCTTGACTTGAGGCGCATGGTGAAACGGGGGGTATCGTAAGCCGGAGAGGCAACAAAGATCGACATAATTATAGTGAGGGAATAGACGGACGTAAAGATGCTAACAAATTCGAGATAACAAAGCCGTTGTTTAGGTCAAGCCTTCAAGGCCATTGGCGCTGAGCCTAGATGGACGCCATCTAGGACTTGAAACGCGCGGCGGCCATATAGCGTCATGGGCATGGGACACAACTCCAAGGAGAGTGGATAAAAGCCCGGTAGTTTGGTAGAATTTGTGTCATTTACCTCCACTGGCGACATTGGCCTCATGATTAGTGCTTGAACTTGGTCGAAGCTGGTAAGAAACGGAGATATCCATCACGGTAATTCTTTTGGCCGATTGATGACAAGACAAACAGTACTCCGTAGATAGAGACCTGATGCAACATATGCACTCCATAGCATGTATATTTCAGCTATTATTATTCAGTTTCCTCAGCTGGGTTTCTGCAGCAGGGATCAAGTACGAGGCATAAATGCCCAGGATTTTGCTTTGTTTAGACCTTCAACGTTTCTTGCCACGAACTGGTGGCGGATTCATATAAGCCAGTTGTCTATTATACGCGGCTTCAAGTAACGGTAAGGTTATTTGCCTAAAAAACCAAGGGCCACTGACATCTTGAAGAAAAGCCTCGTGGATATCGATCGACTGTTGATCGCTCGGGCTCCATTAACGGGAAGTCAAATCAATGTTACTCCCCCAGCATCCGAAGACCCTGGTGATGATGTACTGTCTATTTGAAACACATCTGCAGCATTCAGTGACTTTATGGCCTGTTGGGACGTTAAAGTTTGAAAGCAGATTACAACGGCTCGAATTGAGCTTTGGTGCTTTCTTCAGTAATGCCGATCTTGTCTGTACACACAGACAGACGGATCTAAAGTGGTGGATACGTTGCAGCGATGGATTCTAGAGTGCATGCATCATCAGGTAAACCGTACAGAAGCGAGGAGCAGGGGATAATGCAAATGCAAACGCCTATCGGTACTGCACAGGAACTAACTTGGCATGACCAAAGCTGAAAACATCACCACCTCCAAGTTATTGTTTCTTAACGGCTTCAACTATTGACCTCAACTAACCTGAAGAGCTTACCAGATGATGCCAAAGACCGCATTAGCCTTCCTGTTTCGTTTCTCCGCCCAGGGGACCCCTGTCGATCGTTTCCGCGCCTGGTCACATCGCCCGTTGAGCCTATCATCGTCTTGGACAGAGAAGGTCAAGCTTCGGACCAAACTTCAGACATTGGTATCAAAGAATGTTTGAGAGAAACAATGCCAACTTGATTGAGAGTAGAGCGCAGTAAGCAATTAGCTATAGCGTACTGAACTTGTACTAGGTATTAGAGTGATATGCTTGTGTCTTGTAATACAAGACATGCCGGAGTTGTCGTTTCTTGTTCATTTCCATAATTAGTGCAACTGGTCTCAATTCAACTTGTCACTGTACTTCAAACGTCCCGTCTTCGACCTCCTTCATCTGGTTTGGCTTTGGTTGATAGATAGATCACTTGACCGTTGGGTTTCGAGAAGGCGTTTTGCTTTTTGTCCCTTCATGTTGCATCACAAAGACACACATGAAAAAAAAAATACAGTCGTATTGTTCATTACCATCAGAAGATTCTGAATGTCAACATCAAGGAAAGATAATTTCCCACGTTGGGGTCCATAGCTCACTTTTTTCGATTGCGATTGGCTGTGTTATCTCTCAAGCCGGGGTTGATAGAGTGGGGGTGACGATCCCTGGTGTTAAGGTCACGCTATGGAAGAATCAGAGACTCAGATCGACTCGAAGAAACGGCAGGAATGGGTTAATTATCCTAGGGCGATGAAGATGTTTAACTTGTAGGAATGGAGTTTCTTCAGAAACAATGGCATTTGCCTGCTTTTATTATAGTCACTGGAGAAACAGATGCGCAAACGACTGTAGCCCGGGCGATCAAGACACAACTCAAACACTCCACTTGCTGTCGGGGATATGGAACCAAAGTAACAGAAGTATGAAGAAATGTCATGTCAATTCTTCGGTGACATTGTCAAATTGACAGAACTACTGGGCTGTTTTGTCCATATCCCTGGGACAATGGAACTGCAACGTCAGTTCAACAACAAACGGCGCAATGCTATTGTATTAGAGACCGGTACTCAAGTGCTCCGGCTTTAGTCAGATCAAGTATCCGTTACTTAACATGGCAATGCTTGTCTCTCGTGGTTTGAGTTTCCCCGGCCCTCAACTCTAGGTCAGAAAAGGAGTTCCCCTCGAACTCTAGATCTCGCCACTTAAACGTTGGCGTTGGAGGCTAAGAAGCTAACAAAGACGTTGGTTATGACATGTCATGGAACTTCTTCTCCCTGATGACGAGAACAAAGCAAAGAATCTGCATGACTTGGTAACTCTAACCAAATGAATATCACAACGTCCGAACTATATGAGGTCCGTCCACAGGTCATAACGTCGCGTCGAGCGCTGAGCACCATAATAAAAACACCGCCGTCCTGTCCGCCATGTACCCGGAACCTAGGGACCCATGACCCCTGCAGAAGGCGTGCAGTGTGCCCCTGACGGCCCCAGCATCCCGGCCCCTCAATGGGTGGAGGGGATTGGACCTCTGTAGCTCCTCATCTAGCCCCTAATGTAGGTACGGTACGTAAGGTACCGGTACATGCATCGTCTGTGAGAGAGACGGACAGCATCCCCTTGCCTCGACTTTGCAGCGTAGGTGCAGGTTGTCTATTACTTTTAGTAGATAGTGTAAGAAGTTTATTGACGGTAAGGAGGGATTTAGAGCATAGGGGTTTCATTTTCGTTGAGTTGTCTGCGAGACTGTGACTAAGAGACAACACCAGCATATTCACCTCCAGTCACCTACAGTCACTCACTTACACGCGAAAAGATTGGTTACACATAATCACATTATCTGTTCTGCATGACTGTGCCGACAAATACGACTCAATTGTTTTCAGTTCCTACCCTCCTTGTTTACTGATAAATGCCCGGCTCACCAAACTAGGAGAATCGAGTTACGGTACCTGTCCCAACCTAGAAAGTGACTGGCAGGGGATCAAAGCCCCCTTGTGCGCCATCTGTCTCACAATTTCGCCCGCTGAAGCCCTGTTCGTTGAGTGCTTCTGGTTCATTTCTGCCGTTGTTATTCCTCCACTTTCGCTCCATTCAACGGACGGGAGCTCCCATTCTATCCATTCTCTCAACTGAAAACGGTACGTATAGGTACTTGACCTCATTCCTTCAGAAGCTGTCTCGCTTCTCTTGGCTCTCTAGCTCTAGAGGTAGGTATCCGTACCTGCCTGGGCTCTAGGTACCTTAGTTCTCCACTCACCCCCCGACTTACACCCATTCATTGCTTCTCTCGCCTCTTCTCCCTTTACTTTTCCTTCATCTGCCCCCTCGTTTCTCGAGTTTCAATCTTCTCTCTCTTTTCTTCCTTGCTTTTCTATTCAAAGCCCGGTTGACTCGAGCATTGAATGAAGCCTTGAGTGCGGAGCGGAGCCTCAAGTAAATCGAGCACTTCAAGACAAGTTCGAGGACTGACCAAACCTGCTAGTCAGTTTAACTCAGTAATAAGACAGTATAATTGAGAATATAACGGCTATTCTCAAAGTCAATTCGACGACAACTGCGTCGATACCCGAACTTACGAAGGAAACGAGAGGCCTTTTCAGGCTCAACACTATCAACAATGCCTCCCTCCTTGAACACCCATCCCTCCTTTACCCGTCCTCGGACTAGCGACCGCGATGGCAGGCCCAGCACCCGCGACCAGGGCGCTGATCAGAACCTCCTGATTCCCAGCCGAACTTCTTCGCTTCACTCGCGCATCACCCAGCCCATCCCATCAACTCTCAACATGAAGCCTCAGCAGCGAACTCCGAAGACTTTGACACATGCCTACATGGTTTGTGGTGTTGGTCGTGAGCCTTCTCAATGGGTCAAGGCACCTGCCCCTGCCCAAGGCAAGATTGGCCACATGAAGGGGGCTGTTGGGCAGTTCTGGCTCCCTGAGATTCTGGGCAGCAGCCCACGTCTCGAGCAGGACAATGAGATTGCGCGTGCTCTTCACTCTGCTATGAGAGTGCGTACCTCCAACCCATTGACTTTTTAAATTCATCTAGCTGACCAGTGGCAACTATTCTATAGGCTTGCTTCCCTCACGATGTCGAGATCTGCACAGGCAGAAGCCAGCCTCACTGTGTTCACCATGCTTTCGTTCTCCAGCAAGATTCTTCTCACACTCTTTACGGTATTTGCCTGCGCGTTTGGTCGCGAGCCGACGAGAAGAGGGCCGAGACAATTCGCGACCTTCGCAAGAGAACCGAGAGCGACTACTACGACAACCCCGATGAGACCTACTGGATTCCTTACTGCCTGTCGTTCCTTTCACGATACCCTCTGTACAATCTTCTAGGAGATTATCTCAGAGGCATGTGGATTCACTGGAACAAGGCAACCAACCTGTTCCACGCCGAGGAGGTTTCCCGTATCCTGAGCTTCCCTGCTCCTCGCCTCAACGATCTTGTTCGCATCGACATGAAGGACTACGCTCTCTGCTACCAGTTCCCATCTTCACCTACCGGCTTCCAGAACTTCGCCATGTGGCCTCTCTTCAACTGTCTGTCGATTCCCAACATCGTCGGTGTTATCGAAGCCGCCATCTCTCCTACACGCCGAATCATCTTCGTCAGCCACTACCCTGCTATGCTCACCATGGCTGCTGAGACCGTGCGATACTGCGTTCGAGTTTATGAGTGGAGCGGACTCTACGTCCCAGTTGTGCACGCTCGTCACGCCAAGGAACTGGTTCAGGAGCCCGGCCCTTACATTTTGGGTATCACTGTTGAGTGTCGCTCGCTCTTCACTGCTCCTACCGACGCTCTGGTTGTTGATCTTGATCGCAACTTTGTTCTTACCTCTAGCCCTCCTACTGCTCTTACTCCCGGCCAGCGCAACAAGTTTGTTACACGACTTACACAAGCTCTCAACGGTGATGTCACTCCTTCTGGAGTTCCTCAGCATCTTCGATCCGCTTATGGTGGCGGCAAGCTCGTTCCTGCGGGTCAGATCATCGTTATGCGCGGTGAGGTTGAGTCTATCCAGGATCCTGAGTGGTGGAACCAGGATGCCGTCATGGCTGTTATGGACCACGTCTGTGAGAAGCTTGGCCGCAACACTGGTATCAAGGCCGTCTTTGGTGGATCTGTGAAGAAGCCTCTCATGACCAAGGTTTCTATGCGCCATCTTAATGAGATTGTTCGTGAGAGGAACCAATACTCTCGCGATGCTCTTGAGGCTTGGCAGGATTTCATCAACCTCAAGGGCCGCATGGACACTGAGCTCAACAAGGTTACCAAGCGTAACAACTACCTGGTTGAGGAGCTTGAGAGCTGGAAGCAGCAGTTCCTGAAGTTCCAGGCCTTTGCTGAGACCCTCACCAAGGAGACCCAAGATCTCAAGGTCAAAATCGACACACACAAGAGAGAGAACCGTCGCCTTGCTGGTCTCATTGATCAACAGAAGGATGACAACGCTCGCCTCTCTGTGCGTCTCACTGGAACCGAGAAGCAGCGTGATGACGCTCTCGAGGCTCTTGTCCTTCAGCAGGAGATTGCCGAGGAGCTTGAGCGTGAGCGTAAGAGGAACAAGAAGGAGCTCTCTCAGCTTCAGCACACCAACGTGACCATCATGCGACAGCGTGATGAGGCTCGCAGAGTTGTCCTTCACCTCCGCAGTCTCATTGGCGGTCAGAGCCACCATATGGAGCATCTCATCCAGTCTCTCACCAAGCCTGATGACCTTGCCAATGAGATTGAGGAGGGTTATGATGAAGCCGAGGAGGATGTGCAACAGGCTGGTGAACCTGGCCGCCTTACCCCCAGCCCCAACCCTCGAAACAAACGATACTCTTCGTCTAGCTTCACTGATGTTGCGGATCGTCACCTCAAGGACAAGACTGACGCCATTGCTCACATTGTCCGAAACATTGCTGAGCAATGTCAAGCTGCTGTTGAGGGTCTCCAGCTGGCACATGATGCCGAACTAGGGAGTTCTAGTAGAAGGAATTCTAGCCTCTCTACCACCCAGAGCGATGACGGCCACTCCGCCGCCACGTCCGAAACAGGAGACGACTCCCTCCTGGCGCCGCGGTCCGGGAGGGCGTCCAGTATCCCTCCCACCCCGGATCTCATTCCCAACAGGAGCAGCACAGCAATGTCCTTTGCCTCTACGGCTACGACTCCGGAGCGAGCGTCCCAACAGTATAACCTTAGAGACGAGATCCCCACCAAGATTGTCGAGGATGACGAAGAGGACTTCGAGGAGAATCGAAGCGACAACGGAGGGGTCACACATGAGACAAGCGTCGTTTCTAAGCATCAGCTCCAGCACCAACAGTCCCTGATGCACAGGCCATCGGGCGCCAGGATCAGCGCTCTTGGTGGCACCCGCTGAGTGTTTTGGATAAACACCTCTACCTTAACGTCTGAGCATGAGCCTTGCTTTTTTGTGAACTTCTCACTTCTCGCTTATTTCGATTTAATTGTCTTGTATTTGGCGGCTGGCTTGGATCAAAACCTGCGGGTTCGGCGTTTGATGTCCCTTATATCTTTTTTGTCATTACCAATCTTCTGCCTCATCTGATGAGCAGCTTAGCTCATATACCTACGTTAAGCCTGACGGCCATCTTCTCATTATGTTAAAGTATTCTTCTACGCAGCGGTGTTTGTATAGTCTTCCTTCTTTACTTTGTTGAAGGCGGGTTATAAGAATGAAACACATTTGAAAGTTATCATAGTCCCTAATCATGTTTGAAAATACTCGATTTGCTGTAGTGTATATTATTGTAATGGCTCGTACTATTGACTTGCAAGTTTTTACTGCCTTTAGCCTCTTGTCGTGTAATGGTTGAGACGTGATGCTACCTTGCTGATAAGATATGCGAAAAGACCCATAAAAAAGTTTCCGTTAGCAATGTCTGCCCATTGAGAGTGTTAGCGCATTCTTCATTCTTTCTACAACTCCTTCACTCAGACTTCTCAGCTGTCGCAATCTATAATGGCCGATCCTTTGTTAACCTCTCTTTGCGGAATATGTCACATATCGACCCCGAAATACAAATGCCCACGATGCGGTACTCGAACCTGTTCCCTAGCGTGCATAAAAAAGCACAAAGCCTGGTCTGAATGCTCCGGCGAACGCGACGCAACAGCCTACATGGCTCCATCGAAACTCCGTACTCCCGCCGGTGTCGATCACGATTACAATTTCCTCCATGGAATTGAACGCTCTGTCGAGCGCGCCGAGAAGCTTCTCGTCGAGGAGCGCGGCATCGTGCAAGAGGAGGAATTGCGACCGATGACAGTCCAAGAAGTTAAATGGAAGCCTGGAAGAGATGGACGCAAGCGCAAGGTTCTCGTTACCAGAGTCTTGCGCGAAGCCAAAGGAAGAACCTTCGAACGGTTTTTGGCTGCACGATTGAGGAAGTTGAACATCACTATCGTGTGTGCGCCGCTGGGAATGGCTAGGCAGAAGGAGAACCACACTACACTCAATCGGCGAACTAACAGAATTAATTGGCAAGTTGAGTGGATGGTGTTGGAGAATCTTCCTGATGCAGAGCCAAAGAAGGTCCGCATATTATCGAAGGTTATGGATGATATGCCACTATACGAAGCATACCATACTTCACTAGAAGAACAGCTAAAGGCAAAAGGACAGCATGCCAAGAAGACTCCACGAGCAGGTTCGGACGGGCAAGTGCAGGACTTGATGAATTCGACATGGTCTTCTGGATCATTTGCGCTCCAAGATCCCTTTACAGGTACTTGGACGAACCATCATAACACAGAGCCAGGCTTGTGGCCATCTGAGAAAACAGAAGCTCAGAAGAAGCAATTCCAATTCTTTCTCGCAAAGTTCCGAACTCCTTCAGACAAGCCTTCTGTAGTCACCAGACTCAACTCTGAAGACTGCTTGCGAGAGGTGCTCAGAAATACGCGCGTGCTGGAATTTCCAACAATATGGGTTCTTAGCCATGATCAGAATCTTCCTGAGACCTTTACGCTTGGACCTAAGGATAAAGCCCCTCAGGAAAGTAACAAAAGGAAAAACCCCCCTGGAAAGAAAGGCCCGGTCAAACCGAACAAGAGAAGAAATAGGGGCAAGGATGTAGAAGAAGGTGAGGTCAGGAGTGATGAGGAGGGAGACGACTCAGATGCTGGCATAAACGCTGGAGTTAAGGGAGTTGGAGTTAATCTTGAGGAAGGTGATGTGATTGCCGAGCAGAGTCTCGGGGAAGAGGATGATGATGACGATGATGAGACGAGTAGTTCTGGAAGTGACAGCGAGTAAGACTGGGCAGGGGTAAAATTGGCGAAGATACAACTATAATGATACCCTAAAATGAACAATAAATCTTATGCCAAGTTGTACATACTATTTTCTCCTTCGAATGCTCCTTAATTACTTTGTTGCTTTCTATCATGATACTGCCCTTGGTGTTGAGCTCTCATTAGAGAAAGTGGCTGTGCTACGTTGTCAGCCACATGATGGAACGACCTACATACAGTAAGGGACAGTGAAGAGCTCCCCGCGACGTTGGCATTGACAATGCCCATCTCGACACACTCGCTTCGACGTTCACCGACGCCCAACGAATTTAATATCTAGACCTCGACACCGAAAGTCTAGTACTATAAAAGACACGGTACCCCCCGCATCATGGTTTGATTGGGCGCTGAACCCCTCGACGCCGACGCCGCTACAATGGACGACACACCTGCTCCCAAGCTCTCAGAGCTGCTACGGCATCCCGACGATCTAGACAAGATACCCGCGCTGAAGTTAGAATTCTCACGAAAAAAGGGCGCCGTAGATGGCCAGCTCCGAAGCGGCCTGCGCGAGCAGCTTGAGACGACACAGTCAGGCATGACGGGGCTGAGCGACGGCCAGAAGACGGTCCAGATGATCAAAGAGGAAATGATCAAGATCGACAAGCTGTGCTCGGAGTCACAGAATATGATAAAGGACTTTGCGAGCATCAACCTCGTATCACAAGCACACCGCAACTTTGGCGCCGTCGAGACTATGCGTCGGAACCTCGAGACCTTCAACGAGCGCATATCGCGTGTGGAGGCGATGCTTAGGGAAGATGACGAGGATAGCGACAACATGCCCAATTTGCTGCCGTGTCACTACGAACTGACTCAATTGAGAAATATCCGCGACGATGCTATGGAACAAATACAACGCGCAGAGGACGAGAGTCTAGAAGCGACACTGGTGGACTACTTTTCGAGGCTAGACGACACGATTGATTGGTTCGATGAGCATGTCGGTATCATTGCCTTGAATCTGATCAATCTCGTTGTGCAGGATAACAATGGGCTTGTGGTGAGATTCGCAGTGGTGATGGAGGCCGAGGAGTCAAGCGACCAACGTGTACTAGCACTGCAGGAAGCTCTCAAAGATCACAAAGAAATGGCAACTCGCTTTCAGAGCATCACAGATGGTGCCAAGAAAGTCCGTGGCTATAAGGAGAAGTTCATACAAGCTATTCGACTCAGCGCGGAGCAACAATTCGAAGGAGCGAAAGAAGAATTCCTCGAAGATCCGAGCAAGTTGGATAAGATTATGAAGTGGTATTTCAACGACTTGAACGTCGTCAAGGTTGGAATGTCCCACCTTATGCCAAAGAAGTGGAATATCGTAAAGACATACGCTGGCGTATACCACCAGCTGATGCACGATTTCCTGGTCGGCATGGTAGATGGCAACGAGGCGTCATCGGCACATACCCTAGAAATCGTGGGCTTCCCGGAGAAGTACTACAGAAAGATGGCAAAGATTGGTCTGAAGCAAGAAGAGCTTATACCTCATGTTATTGACAACCGCGAGGCAGAGCTTGTACGCGACTTTCGTGAGCTCATCATCAAATTCCTCGATGAGTGGATTGATCGAATCTTTGCACAAGAAAAGCGTGATCTCGCAGAGCGTAACGTCGAGGGCTCAAACTTGGATCAGGACGAGTATGGCTATTTCAGAACCAAGAACTTTGTTGCGCTATGGCGAATGCTGCGTGAGCAAGTGGACACGGCTGCTAACTCCCAGCGCGCTGATGTTGTTGAGGGTGTAATCGACGCTATGTTTGCTCGTCTACGCACTCGTCAGCAGTCGTGGCAGGCTATGCTTGAAGATGAGGCCATTCCCTACGAGGAGGGTAAGATCCCTGAACTCGAGGGTTTCCAGGCTCTTCAGGATTGGCTCGTGGCTACAGCAAACGACCAGATCGCCTGCATCGACGACAGCGAGGATGAGAACCGTCTTGCATACCTCTCGAGCTTCCGTCGTCTTGTCGAGCAGCATGTCACACCCGCGTACCTTGAACGTATTGAGAGTGAGGTTAATACGCTGCGTGACGGTTACGTCGACTTCAGCACATGGTGTATCAACCGCTTCGCTCAACTTATATTCTCTGTCGACTTCGGTACCGTCATGCCTGACTTCTTTACACCTCGATGGTACACAACTACTGCTATGAAGCAGATGGTGGTGACATTCGAGGAGTACGTCAACGACTACCGCCAAGTACTACATCATTCACTGGTCGATATTTTCGTTGAGATCTTTGCTGAGGAGCTACTTGTTCGCTACTTATCTGCTGTGCGCAACAAGGGCGCAAAGTTCCGTCGTACCGACCCCTTTCAAGACAAGTTGTTCAACGATATCTCCACAGCGTTCGAATGCTTCAGCACACTCCCTTCGCCTGACATTGGTGCCTCTATCAAGGAGACCTGGCGTGTTACAGAACATTTCTTGCGCCTGTTGACAGCTGACCGCGATGCCATCGTAGACGCTTACGTGACGTTCAAGATGGCTTATTGGGACCTGAATGTGCAGTGGGTTGAGGCTGTATTGAAATCAAGAGATGACTTTGAGAGGTCTTGGATTGGCGCGGTCAAGAAGGAGGCTGCCAATATTGATAGTGGGCGTGGACCAGAGACCATCATGAGTAGAGTCAAGTAAGCGAGGACGAGTCATGATTTGTGTTTAAATGGGAAAAGGTAGAGGGTTATTGCAATTATGTATGATAGGCATCATTTCATGCCCTGTTAGCGACAATGATATTTACGCTTGTTTGAATAACCTCATTATTGTAACTTGTCGGTGTCTGCTCTATCTGAATCATGATATCGGCGACACAAAACTGCATCTCTACAGCTGCAATCTCAAAGTATGCAACACAAAAGACGAAATCAACACAGGCTTAAGCAAACAAGAAGTCTTCATGATACTACAATGTGTGGGCAGATGATAGATGATAGGAGAACAAGCCCATGTCCAATGGGACCAAGACGCAAAAGGAAAATCTCGCTGCCAAGAAAATATTCAACAAAGGAATCATGAGGATGCAGACAAAAACAGTAGTAAGGAAACAAAGTATGCAGTATGCATTAAACCCTTCTTTCAGAAGATAATATCCGAGACAGCTCTGTTGGTGTGTTTATTATGAACGGCTAGCCAGAAAGTTCGCAGCCTGTACACGTTAGGGGAATTCCTTTGTATGGATCGAATTCAACTAACCTTGTCAAGATCGTAATCATATTTCTCGAGAGCATCAAGAGCTTCAGATCGCTTGTAGCCCATGCTTGTAAGGCTCTTAAGGATTGGGTCATCATGCTCGGATTCAGTCGACAAAGTGCGGTTCAGAGCCTGTTGACCAGGGTGGGACTCAGCACCCGCTGTCTTTTCAGCGGGAGCAGGCTGGGCAGCAGTTGCGCTAGGGGAGTCGAGACCAGAGAAGATAGCATCCCAGTCATGAGCTTCAGGAGCCTTCTGCTGGTTGGCTCCAGTAGCAGGCTGAGCAGCACCAGTCGAGCTGTGAGAGATGAAATCGAAGCTCTCGTTGCCGAAAGCGGTAGACTCAGTCTTGGTCTGACTTCCGGGTGGGCTGCTGTCAAAAACGGGGTTGAAGTCGTCCAGTCCGGAGCGAGAGATGTTGGCAAAATCCTCATCAGCAGAGCCCTCCTTAGCATCCTCTAGACCTTCGAAGTCACTGTCCAAGTCTTCGAATCCGCCCTTGGTCTGAGGAGTGTTGGAAGGGGCAGGCTGCTGTGAAGCAGGGGCAGTTCCGGTAGCAGCCGCGCCAAAAATATCATCGACAGATGATTTTTGAGCAGTGGCTTCAGTCACGGTTGCGGGAGACGAAGGCTGCTCGGTGCTGGTTTATGTTAAATCTTGCTTTCAGAAGCGAAATGGGATCGATCACTTACCTAGGAGCCTTGGGTTCTTGGGGAGAAGTGGCCCCCTGGGCTGGCTGTGGTGAAGTGCTGACGGGGGCTGCGTGAGTAGCTTCAGGCGACTCTCCCGCGTTTGGCTTCTCACCAAATGTCTTGGTGGGTGGTGAGGCAGGGGTGAAGTTATCATCAAAGCCTCCGTTGTCACTACTTGAGTCAGACTCCTCCTCCTCATCACGCTCAAGTTCTGAAATAGGAGGGAACTCCGAATCAAATGCAGATGACTTGTTCGCTTCAGGGGACGGCTTGCTATGGTTCTTAGCAGTGGTGAAGGCTGCAAATGCGTTCTCGAAGTCGGCCTTAGCCTTGGCCTCATCATTACCGCCAAATGGATCTGCAGAGTCGGTTGATTTTGGTGCTTCGTCCTTAGCAGCATCACGGCTGGTATCATTAGGGGCAGAGGTTGCATCCTTGACTTCAGACTTGTCAAGCTCGTCGCCAGGGAAAGCACCAGGAACGCCAGCAGGGCTGTCAGAAGCTTTCAGGTCACCGGGAACAGGGGTAGCTGAACCGTGGAGAGGGTCATCAGCACGCGAAGCAGGGGGTGATACTTGGCGAGAGGATGAGAGAGACTCAGTCTGGTCAGGGAAAGGCAAGAAACTGGAACTGATCTGCCTTGACTCCGGGGGAGCAGGGGGGTCAGCAGCAAGAGTTGCTTGACGGCTCATAATAGGAGAGCTCGCGGCAGGGGGGGTGCTGTATGAACCAGCACTAGCAGTGGAGGCACCGGTATGCTGGGGCTTGAACGAGGTCTGTGGAGGTGGTGGAGGAGTGGCCGAAACGCTGGGTGGGAATGAGGGACCAAAGAGGTCATCGAAAGACTTATCAGAGACATTCTTAGTGGGAGGAGGAGAAGCAAATGCACCCATAATATCAGTGCTTGCAGTGCGGCGGAAGAAGGGGTTGTTAGCGCTGGAGGTCGAAGCAGCTGGGCTTGCGATTTGAGCTGAAGCAGATGCTGGCGAGCCAGTGTTTGCCAGCCGAAGATCCTCAATGCTCTTGGTGAGCTCCTCCGCCTCTCCCTTCAGCTTATCACGCTCGCCTTCTGTAGTAGATAGCTGCTTCTTGTTGATGGCGACCAGTCCCTTCTGTTGGCGAGCATCAGACTTGAGCTTTTCAATTTGAGGCTTGAGCTGCGCGATCTCTCCATTGACTACACGAATCCGTTCTCGGAGGTTGGCATTCTCTTGTTGGTCCGCCTGAAGAGCTGCCAGTACTTGCTGGTGCTGCGTCTGAGTATCATGGTAAGTCCCCTCAAGCGCCATGCATTCAGACTGAAGCTTGGCAGTCTCCTTCCGTGCATTGCTGAGCTGCTCCTCAAGGGCACGAGTATCTTGCGCCTCCTTCTCATAAAGGGTGCGCAGTTGAGCCAGCCGCTGCTCGAAGTTCTGCTTCTGAGACGTGGCCTGATTCAGTTCATTTTGAGTGGTAGTCCTCTTAGCCTGGACATCTTGGGTTTGCTTGGACAGAGATGAGATCTGGTTAGAAAGGTTTGCAAGCTCAGTGGTTTCCCCTGAGATGTTCTTGCTAGCCTCATCGTTATCTGACAACAAGTCCTCGGATGCAGAAGGTGCCGGAAGCTTCTGGCCAGAACCAGCTGAACCACCAGTAGGTTGTTGTGTCAAGCCTCTACCAAATGAGGATGATGGTACAAATGGCTTAAAGCTTGAACCACCGGTTCCTGTAAGGGATGGCTTAACGGGAGAAGTAGGCGTGAGTGCAGAGCCGCCGGCGAAAGGATCGTTGGCATTGGAGCCCCCTGTTGACATTGGAGCCTGAGCAGGGGGAGGGGGGGCTGGGCTGGAAGTGCCTGATTCGAGGCCGAACAAGTCATCCAGAGCGGACTTAGGAGCGGGGGGAGGAGCTTGAACTACAAGTGGGGGAGGCGGATCAAAAGCGGATGTAGCAGTCTGTGGTCGAGCCTGAGTGCGCATGCTGGGAGGAACCAGATTGGGTGGTAGAGTGGTAGGTAGAGGGACAGAACGACCACTTCTCTGCTGTCTTATCAAATACATAGCAACCGCAAACTCGTCTCGCGAAAGCTGACCCTGAGACTTTGTGTCGGCAAGATCCCAGATTTGGGCTAAGGAGTCTTCAGGAAGGTTAGACTGGCTGAAGAAAGTGACCGCTTCCTCTCCTGTGATATAACCCTTGTTGCCCTTATCAAGGTCGGCGTAAATCTGATCGAATCGAGCCTTGTCGGCAGGTGTCACGGCCCAGTCGTTAGCACCACTCTGTTGAGGAGACATAGGAGGACGACCGAGAGGGCTGTTTGTGCGAACCTGGGCTGTTCCGCTAACTTGTCGAGGAATGGCTGAGATGCCAGGACCAGTCGAAGATTGACGCGAGGCAGGACCACGGCGCGAGGCAGCCTCGTAAAGACCAGCGGGGAGGACGCTAGGGAGAGATCGTAGAGCTCCGGTCTTCATGGAGGTGAGAAGGTGCATGGCGATAATGAACTCGGTCAGAACAAGAGCACCACGCTGCTCAGTGTCGGCAAGCTGCCATATTCTTCCAAGTGCTTCATTGGGTAGGCCGGACTTCTCGAAGATAGACTTGGCCTGATCGCCGGGAAGTTGACCGCCTTGGAGAGGTTGACGTTCGAATAAACCAGTATATTGTGCGACCTTCTCAGGAGTCAGGGGTGGGATACGGATCGGTCCGCCAGTGCTCTGGGCTTGGAGAGCGGCTGGGGGAGGCGGCGAGCTGACGGGAACAGGCGGAGGTGGTGGGATGCCACCAGCACCCGTAACTTGAGGAACGATGCCATCGAATCGAGGGAGGGGAGCTTGTTGGAGGGCGATCTCGGGTGTGGGTTCGCGGCCGGCTTGTGCGTGTCCAATGAGTCGTAAAGCGATACCAAAGCCAGCTGGTGTTAGGAAACCTCGGTTCTCCTTATCGGCGATCTGCCAGATCTTTCTCAAGTGTCAGCATCAAGTTCAAGTCGGTAAGAGGGTCATATGGATCATAAACGTACCTCACCAAGGATACGGGAGTCTAAACCTGTCTTGTGGAAGAACCTAACAGCAATTTCACCGACAACGACACCAACACTGTCTGAATCGGCCTGTCGGAAGAGCTGTCCATAGGTGCGCTTCTCCTCAGGGGAGAGGTTCAGGTTTGGCGCTGTTTTGTCAGCTTTGTGTGATAGAGAATATCGGATGTGGGCTTCAAGTACCTTCATCAGCCGCCATGATCGCGTATACGAGCTATGGAAGCTCAGGACGGTAGAGACGGACGATGGATCGCGATAGCGCCAGGAGAGATATTGGGGTTCTCGAGTATACAATAGTAATGGATCGCGATAATCGATTATACAGTCGATAAAGCGATCGATAGTGAAGCCGATATAACGGGCGTGGAGAATATGCAGTTGAGGAGACAAGATGGAGGTTGAATTGTGCTTCGCTTCAGTATGGAGATTGGATCGTCAGCCTGGGCTGGACCATTATGGGGGGGTTGGTCGGTGCTGCCAAGTCGAGAGAGCAACCCAGCAAATGAGAGATGGTGATGGGTTGTCCAGTAACCAACCAGAAGTCGGCGGGACGTGACAGGGGGCAAAGAACCTTGACAAGAAGCAATTATCCGCTAGAGGCGCACTGGAAGTTTGAAACTCGTCCTCTATCGCGCCAGAGTCTCACAGGCTACGTAAGGGTTTAAGCCACAAGGGCCGCCGAAACTCAAGCTGTCGATGTTCAGCTATCAAAGCTCCACCTTTATACGTCATGACAGTTGAATGGATGATATTTAAGAAAACACCATGAATTAAACAGCATGTTGTTTGGTTTGAGTCATGTCCTTCAATATCCTGGTGAATTTATCACAGACCATTAGGTTGCACATTAGACCAGGGACATAAATTCGATCAAATGCAGCTTCTACTAATAAAAAAAGGGTAAACACTTATACCATCTGGGAGATGTTTGAGTTGAAGATATACATTGAAAAGAATAGAGACTGAACGACCTTTTGAAGATTGAAGTTTGCAACTCCAGTTTCAAGAGTCTCTGACAGTATGACTTGGTGTGTCGTGTTACCATGTTGCCGGATATGCATGCATATGCGAGGCTTCCTGTTACACATGCATCCATCGATCCCGAGGCCTCAAAGATGTCTCATATGTATGACCTAGAGAAGCAGAGTTTAGCCTAACCATGAACTCAATCATTTTCACTTACTGGGAGCCATAGGTCTTTGAGGTATTGTAGAGCCCATTCAGCTTTACTGGAGCACTAAGTGAATGAATTTCGAAATACACCATCGTCAGTGTTTATGATGTGACCAGGTTATAGTGGCCCCAGTCATGACTAAACATTGAATATTTCAGGAAATAGTCAAAGTCCCAGGGTGCCATGGAATAATATCATGAACGGGCAGCAAATCACGTCTTATATCGCCTCTATCTTTGTAATCAGCCTCGGAACTGAAATTGATGCAACCCAACGCGAGGCTTATGTCAGATCTTCTGGAAGCATATGTAGGCTTAAACAAGTAATAGGACTTATCGAATTGAATTGAAACATGATTCCATATCCATTCATCTGATTTGAAACTTGACACCATCATCGGACTCTAAAAAGGTCCCTTGTAGCTCGGCATGGCCTCCACTATGAACCACCATCCCCGCTAACGGAGCTTGTAGTTACCTAGGCTCGGGGATCAAAAAATCATCCTCAATGCGAGTGGATTTGAAATCGTCTCTTTTCTGCAGCTCGTCATTGATATCAACCAACCAATACTCGAATTGAAGTCGGTTTGCTTACTCAACCCTCCGTTGACTGTCTTAATAACACAATTCTCGTATATCAAATCACTTCCATCCAATCCGCTTCCATCAATCTCAAGTAACCCCGCCACAACCACTACCTACCACTTCTCATTCTGGTCCCTTCGCATCTTGTGTCCTATCTTCGTCCCTTTAAAAGACGTCATTCCCCTCCCACTTTCTTTCCCACTCTTTCCATACCAATTACAAAAGGTTAAGCCCCGAGGCAACCTCATGCAAGCTCTAGCCCACTCCCTACGCTCATCAACCTTGTCTTCGTCCTCGAGAACGACCCCGCTGCGAATAGCTTCAATTACCCGCCATCTCTCTACATCTGCGCGCAATATGGCTCCCATCACCAAGGAGACCGACTACCTCGTTATTGGCGGCGGCAGTGGAGGTCTTGCCTCTGCGCGCATGGCCAGCAGCAAGTTTGGCGTCAAAGCTACTATTGTCGAGAACAAGCGACTTGGTGGAACTTGTGTTAACGTTGGGTGCGTACTGATGAACCATGCAATATAAACATACACTGACAAAATGTAGCTGTGTGCCAAAGAAGGTCACTTACAACGCTGCCGCCCTCGCCGAGGCCATCCACGACGCAAAGGCCTATGGCTTCTCCGTTGAGCAAACCGCTCCCTTCGACTGGTCAACCTTCAAGACCAAGCGTGACGCCTACATTAAGCGCCTGAACGGTATCTACGAGCGAAACCTTAACAACGATAAGGTTGACTACCTACACGGATGGGCGCGCCTCGTTTCTAAGAACCAGGCCGAGGTCACACTCGACGACAACTCCAAGGTCCTCGTCAACGCCAAGAAGATCCTCGTCGCTGTTGGCGGCAAGCCTACTATTCCTCCTGAGATCCCCGGCGCCGAGTACGGAACCAACAGTGATGGCTTCTTTGATATTTCTACTCAGCCTAAGAAGGTTGCCATTGTTGGCGCTGGCTACATCGCTGTCGAATTTGCCGGCATGTTCAACGCCCTTGGCACGGAAACCCACCTCTTCATCCGCCATGATACGTTCCTTCGAAACTTCGATCCCATGATCCAGGAGAGCGTCACTAAGGAGTATGAGAGACTCGGTGTTAAGCTGCACAAGCGCTCGCAGGCTAGCAAGGTCGAGAAGGACTCCAATGGAAAGCTTACCATCACATATAAGGACGACCAAGGCAACGAGAGTGTTGTCAGCGACGTCGACAACCTGATCTGGGCTATTGGTCGCACTCCTGAGACTAAGGGTATCGGTCTGGAGGAGGCTGGAGTTAAGCTTGGCGAGAACGGACATATCCTCGTCGACGAGTACCAAAACACTGCAGTCGACAACATCTACGCTCTTGGCGACGTTACTGGTGAAGTTGAGTTGACCCCCGTTGCTATCGCAGCTGGCCGCCGTCTCGCCCACCGTTTGTTCGGAGGCCCCGAGTTTGCCAACCTCAAGCTCGACTACAACAACGTCCCATCGGTTGTCTTTTCTCACCCTGAGGTCGGTAGCATCGGTCTCACTGAGCCCCAAGCTATCGAGAAGTATGGCAAGGACAACATCAAGGTCTACAAGACAAGCTTCACAGCCATGTACTATGCCATGATGGAGCCTGAGCAGAAGGGTCCGACAAACTACAAGCTGATTGTTGCTGGACCTGAGGAAAAGGTTATTGGTCTTCACATTATGGGACTGGGTAGCGGTGAGATGCTGCAGGGCTTTGGTGTTGCTGTCAAGATGGGTGCCACAAAGGCCGATTTTGATAGCTGTGTTGCTATTCATCCCACCAGCGCCGAAGAGCTTGTTACTTTGAAATAGAGAAGATATAGAGGAAAGGGTATTAGCGTTAATATAGGGTTACATAAATAAAGGAGTTGTTGATTTATGGCTCGTTGGTTTTATGAGACCTTACCTCGTGTTTCCTTGTTGCATCGTGATAGCTTGGCGGAGTTTGAGGATCAATCTCTTTTACTAGACGCTCTTTTATACTTCGAAGGTATCGGTCTTGGTTTCGTGGTACATGCTTGGGCAATTAGGTGTATGTATTGGTGAGAGCTTCCATAGAGTCTGGGCATGACTTTAAGTTACTTCGAACTTGCAGCAATCCAATAATGGAAATGAAGACTGACCAATCGATCTCTAGCCGAAAGGGAATCGCTTGACAAGAGTCGTTACATGCATTGTTCCACCAAGTTTCTAGCGCCCTCGTGCTGTCACATGGCTATATCACAACGGGAACCCAAACCATATCTGACTCAACCAAGATCATGACGCCTCGAGATAGTATCAAGAACTCAATTGCCAAAATTCCACGCCCTACGCGCCCTATTTCAAAGTGAGTACGGGAAATTTACATAATAGTCAAGATCGGGATTTTTATAAATGTTGTCCTACGCGGCTATCGGTGACCGGTAGCCACAATTATTCGGCAGCCGATATATAGAGGAGAGTTATCATATGTTTTCATGATACAACAGTTCACTTCACTTCACTTACACGCCCCAGTCAGTAACAATGGCACTCTCAAACCGTGCCCATGAAGCCGAGGAGGCATGTAAAGGGATGGCTTTGTGGGAAGTCATCACCAATCTTTACGACCAAGAAACCAATCCTGATGGTATTGTGAGTCTTGGGGTGGCTGAAAACACACTCATGCACGATGTTTTACGAAAACACATTCACGATAACTTGGCCTTGACGAACCCGGCTTTTACCTATGGAGATGGAACCACGGGAACAAAAAGAGCCAAGCAGGCTGTTTCTAGATTCTTGAATAAGCATCTCAAGCCGTTTCGGGATATTGAACCAGCGCATATTTCCATGACCAATGGATGTAGCGCTGCTATTGAGCATTTGTCGTGGGCGGTTGCGAACCCCGGTGATGCGATTCTTCTTGGGCAGCCGTATTACGGAACCTTTGTCCCTGATCTCACGTATCGTTTTGGAGCCAAGCTTCTCCCAGTTGCGTTTGGTGATGTTGATCCTCTTTGCGAAGAGGCAGTGGCCAAGTACGAGGAAGTCATTCTCGATAGTCAAGCCAAGGGGATCGAGATTGCTGGTCTAGTTATCAGTCACCCACATAACCCCTTGGGACGTTGCTACTCTCGCAAAGCTCTCATTGCCTTCATGAAGCTGTGTCAGAAGTACAAGGTTCACTTTATCAGCGATGAGATTTACGCCCTCTCAGTCTGGCCGAACACTGTCGATCAACACCCTCCCCCTATTCCTTTCGAATCTGCTCTTGCCATCGACACTACAGGTATCATTGACCCTGAGAGGTTACACGTTCTATGGGGCATGTCCAAGGACTTTGGTGCCAATGGCATCCGAGTCGGAGCCATTGTATCTCAGGCCAACTCATCCCTTCACGCTGCCATAGTCGCTGTTGGTCTATACAGCTCTGTATCTTCGATCTCCGACCACATCACGGCCAACGTTCTGGAGGATGATGCCTTTGTCGATGCATACTTGGCCGAGAACCAAAGAAAGCTATCGGCTCAATACGCACGGGTCGTTTCTTGGGCAGTGAAGAATGATATTGATTACGCTCCCGGTGTGAACGCTGCCTTCTTTTTATGGGTTGATCTCGGCAAGGCTTTCATGGCACAGCACCCGAAGGTTGAGACTGACGATATCACGGATTTTATCATGAACAAATTAATGGAAAGAAGAGTCTTTCTTGCCTCGGGGAAAGCCTTTGGCTCCGAGAAGCCAGGCTGGTTCAGAATTGTTTTTTCCCATCCAGATGAGTACCTTGATCTGGGTCTTCAGCGAGTGATAGAATCATTGCAACAGCATCTGCGTCTTAATATAATTGAATAGAACAACAAAGCATGTGCAAGCTATGGATAGAACTGTTTTATAACGAGTGTGGCTAGCGATTGGATTTCATGCCCCTGTTGAACCCATGACAGACTTCGTATCTCCTCCTAGTCTGGTTCTCGAAACTCCTTTACCATTTCTCAACTTTCCACCTGAGCCCTAGGCATCAACTCACTCATCTTAGGTTGCCAAGCTCCAGCAACTTTTCACCTTATGTGCTTTGCCAGAGACATCATCTCACTAAAGTGTAACCGGCGTCCACCAGTTCATTTGCACTCAAGACGACTGAATAGCCTGCCCACAGACCACGTTTTTTTGGAATGAAGGAACCCTGTCACAACGCCAGTCTCGCTCACTGCAGCAGCTCCAGTCATCTTGTCTGCCAGCGCAGGGTTCGGGCGTTCTTCATCCTCCAGTTGCCCAGTCCAAGCCCAATGATAGACCCGATAGTGAGTGGTGGTAGGATTACGCACGACTCTGACGGACTTTGCGACGATTATACCTTCTGTAAAAGGAGGCCAGCAGGTAGCGGGACTGACAAGGGAGTTCCAGGGAAGCGCATCATTTAGGTCCTCGCCCAATAGCCGTGTAAATGGCATAGTCCCATGCTGGTTCTTGAAACTGATATCGTCGTCCAGCTCTACCAGAGCGACATCTGTACCAGGGATCACATCTGCAGCCTTTCCAATTATGTTTTCTAAGAAGAATTCTCTTATCCGTACCTCATCCCCTGGGCGAACAATACGCGCTGCCGTGGTCATCAAATGCTGGCCTATTTGGTTCTTGAGGAGCACGCCACTCGATACAGTTGCTGCAACGCGTGGTATATTCCCTTCCCTTTTGCCTCTCTCAGGGCCTTTGGAGCCACAAAGCTTCATTCCAGGGTATAGGGGTAGTTCGCTGGCCTGACCAGGCCACGGATATCCGGTGAACTGTCTTGAGCCCCAACGAGACCATGGTTCGTCACTAGTATCGTCCACTCCGGTATAAACAACTTCACAACAAGCAATGTAGCCAGGAAGTCGGCTCGCCTTCGATCTCAAATCGATTTCCTTTGCCAAGATAATCACGATCTTTTTATCCATGGTCAGCATGACCTCCATAACTTTCGGATAATGTCACATCTTGAACCACCGCTCGCAGCGAGGTCTCCGGGAAAGGATCTTGGCGTGCATCGATGTTTACGCAAATATCGAAGTTCTGGTTTCCAACAAAGATTTCTTTGTTTGGTCCTTGAGGCTCGATATGTTGGAAGAGAGAGGTCCTTCCCCGGGTCCTTTCGTGACACTTGGCCTCGATAGGCGTGAGGGGCAGGTCTTCTCTAGCATCGGATGCTATTGTAAAAGGACGCCCGTTGATTGTGAGAGGCCAAGGATGTGATGGAAATTTCTTGGCGAAGAAACGGTACCAGTAAGGGGAGCACTCCATATGCATGTCGTCTCGGAGTATGGACAACCCTTCCTCGCCGAAGATTGGCTTCAGGTGCTTGTCGTCCGAGCTGAACCTCATTGGATATGTAACATGCTTGGGATTCATGTCGTCTTTGTTCCTTATACGTGGAGATATGAGAGTATGGATTCGATGTTTGCGTTGAATACTCTTGTTGAAAGCGTATAATGGTTCAAATCATTCTTAGGATGAGACAGCTTTAACGGCTCCTGACTCTTTACTCCTTCTGTAGGCGTTCTTCTCCTCATTTCTACCTTCCACTTACATTGTTATTTTTTTTGGAACCTCTCTCTGCTTACTCTTGTTCTTCTCGAAGCATGCGACTTCTTCAGACTTTGAGAACCTGGGAAGGCTTCCCCTTCTCATTGTTTTACCGACCTAAGGTAATACTACTAAGATAGGTACGTAGGTAGGTTTGAGTATGATGATTAGCATAGTAGTACAATGAGTGGAAGCATGGCCCAGCGTTTCTGAGGTACATCTTTCTGAACGTTCCTGCCTCAAAATGGTTATTCAAGAGTTACTTAACATCGGCAGTATCATCTTCAATGCAATGGTCTTTCTTTGCACCTCGTCATGGCGAGGCTATGGACGTCTATTGGAAAGCACAGGCGGCCTTGCCTGTAGTCCAATGGTTCAGGGTAGTCTGACGGAATGCTTAAGATGAATTCGTCCTCCCCAGACATAAACAAAGCCCTCCTCCAGCCGGTTCAGGCCGATGCTTTCCACTGACATCCTGACAGGTCATATCACAGACCCTCAGGCCGGTCTCGTCCTTAAAAAAAAAATGCAACAAACCCAATTGAGACATATTAAGCACGTCCCCTACGGTAGAGCAAAGAGAGGAGCCGGAAGACAAAAGTGAGGCAAAAGTGCATTCAATTGCACTTGTGTTGGTCGTGCCATAGTCGCAGTTCAAATTTGTACTCCGGGCGCCCAACCCGGCGGTCCGCTACGGATAGATCCCGCCCGGGGGTCGGCTCACCAATCGGAAGCCTTGACTCATGCCCGGGTCCCGATATTTTGGACAAGGGCCCCGAATTTTTTTTTAAGGTGCAGATGCCATTAACGGTCCTTGAAACCCCAGCTCAGTGAGTGAAAAATTAGAGACGGTCCGACTTATGGGGACGGGGAAACGTTGAGGGGATTCACTAATGCTGTTTAATGGACATCAAACAAGGATTGCTTGAAGCGGCTGGACCCTTGGAAACAGCCGGTGCTTTAGCGTGTCAGTGTGTGTGATCCGGACGGCCGCCATCGGATGGTAAGCTGAGGGTGTCTGTCAACTTGAGAGGAGATACCGATAGACGCCGCTCAGCTGCAGAGACTTCAAGACAATGTTATCAAATAGATAGCCAAATTAGTTCGCCCATCACGCAACAGTAAAGGAATATGCTATTCATTCCCTTCTGGTCATGTCGTGTCCACGTCAGCGAGTTCGGTGCATCTGATAGTGCCCTGTGAGTGGTGAAGCTACTGCAGTTGGCTTGAAAGTGAATCACAAACTGCATCTCTTGTGCCTGGCCCTGGTGTGCTTATTGTGTGTGCCTGAACCCTTACAATTCAATGCAATACCGATACCCGAACAGAATCTGACAGGGCAGTCTTAGGCACAGTACAGTACGCTGCCATATCTCGGGGCATTATTCCCTGTCAGGGTGTCATAGAGATCCTGCATGAGAGGAAGAAACGAATCTCACTGGGTGTGATCCCAGACATACATACGATTTGCATTTGATGACGGGATAATTGCGGCATATGTCTGGTATAATCGTGGATGTATGCAGCCAACTTCAGCCAGCCATTCTCAGCTACTAGGTTCCATTGGCTTGGCTAATAATCAATACATACGTACCAGGCTCATGGGACAGAACCCACTGTGAATAACAAACATTCACGAACATCCCTTTGAGGAAAATAGTTGCAGTCAGGGGCATCAGTATACAAGGGTAACTAGAGTTTATTATTAAACTCGCTTTCGCGTAAACTGTCGAGCCCCAAAGCTATTCCCGATCAAATTGTCCGCTGCACCTTAGATCGAAAGGCGACCTTTTGAAAAGAATTTTCGTACCGGGGTTTAAAACATCGAGCGAATAGAAATGAACCACAACTGGCACGGGTTTAACACCACCACCACGAACGATCCATTATTATCAGCTGTGATGGTCTCAGTTATATCCATGACTATCACACTAGGAGTAATCTCGGACCTCCTCAACGAAAAACTTGAGGGGAAAAAACAAAGATAGTCAGACATGGGATACCACAAGATCTCTCGGGATATCGAATAGGCGAAACTCTAGATGCTCCCAGATCCTGCAAGCGTCCACTCTTCCTCTACAAAGAGCCAAGCTTTTGACGATCGTTGATAATGTCTTAGTCTAGCGTACTCTTAGGGCAGGGGAGAGGCCATAGCAGCTTTGAGCTGGAGGGTTACAACGGAGGAACCGTACGCTTTAGGCTTGGGTTTCGATATGGTTCTGTTTGTTGGCCTTTTTTGCCTCCCGCTACAGGGGAGCCTCAGTTAATGGTGAGTGGTCCAAATGGTGATGGCCTCGCATCTCGAACGGCCGTGCCCTTGAAGGTTTGGAGCTTACGAAAGCCATCCCCGCGATAACCGGCCCCCGTAAATTTCCTGGGGTTTAACTAGTGTTGTGTGTTGGGGGAGATTTGAACCAGTTGGAGCACTTGGTCCTGCAAAATGAGAGGAAAAAGTCTAAACTGGCATCATGAATGCGGATGTGACCCTGTAATGTCACCATTTGGGGGATCTGAACCTGAAGAGGCTTGGAACTTGGGGAGAAAAAAACGTCTGTTCGCGACCAGTGACCCTTTGTTTGCCATGCCTCTATACCCGATTCTGGGAGGGAGTTATCCTATGAAGGAATTGAGCACCCTGGACGTGAATGAATGAAGCCAAAATGAGGCCGTTGATGTGGATAGACACTTCATTCACGATGGTGATAGTTGACGCCTTAATTCGCCTCTTGCAACACAACATGCAGCAATTCCCACATAACGACACCACTAAATTGGATGACTGTGGTTTTCATGCCGTCTTCATCCGTCGAAGGACGCCGTGAGAGCCCGAACTCCGCACTCGGTGCCCTCCAACGCGGGGAACAAGATGGGGAAAGCTCTTGTCTCACAGCTAAAGTTAACGTTATCCACTGTAGACAAGCACTAGACACTAACAAAGGACCACAATGTCCGAGTCTTGACGAGAATAACCGTGAGCAAGAGTAAGAAGTCAATGTCTATTGTGACTCTGTCTCATCTCCCCTTCATACCACGCCTAGTTAGTCAGAGCATCCGAAATCCAGCTGGACCTGATCCGGTATTACAACTAATAACTTCACGTCATGAGTACGGCATAGACATTTCTCACAAGCAACTGTAAGCATGAGAGAAATCAGTGAAAGACAAATACACACACCTAATCGCCTGGGTCTCTTCTTGATACCGGCTTTCTCCCCGGTTAATGGCATGTCTTGTCTTCCTGCCCGCTCGTGTCGCACAACTTCGAGACAAGGAGCGGGACCTGCTTACACACATACACATGTGGTGCGCGTCATAATGGCTTAGAGACAAGGCGTTATTGAACGTGAAAAAAGCAAAGAAGAGCGCAGCTACCAACAAGAGAGGGCCAGGATACAGGAATTGTTAGACATGCTGCCCTGCTTACTTTATTTTTCAACCCCTGGCCTAAGCTCGTGTTCCACAAGCTTTCTCGAAGCTCCAGAATCTCGATGTGATGAGCACAAAGATAGCAAGTTACAGCTCAGCCATTCCAGGATCGTTTGAGCCAGCCTCATGCACTTGATTGTTTCTCAAGGGAGAATCATGAAACGGATCTATCAACTTTTGGCAACCCAGGCGAGCATACACATACCCGGAGACAATGATAGCTGTCAGTGCTTAGGAGCTATGACCATACTTATGCTTATATAACACGACCTATTATCAATCGTTCATTGGGTTCCTGAATCACGTATACCCTGAAGTACCACATAAGTGCAACATGATCTGCTAACACACGGCGTCTCGCCATTCAATCTTGTAGCACGTTTGTAACAACCACTCGTTTCTACTAAGCTTGTAAGGGCTTGTCATAGATCAACACATCGGGGGACCGGGTATCGATAGGCTATAACATGTTTCGGGGCTCTTTCTAAAGACATCAAGCGCCTAAAAAGCAATAATCCTATGATAGAAAACGTTAGTATCTGTGTAAGACATAAGCACACAGCCCAACATAGACGGTGGGGGCCATGCCTTGTCTAGCTGAAAGTTTGGAAACTGGAATAAGATGCACAAGTGGACGCCATAAGCATGGGATAGTCAATGCGGGCGTGCTAAACCGTACGAGACAGGCGTTCTGGGCTGACGTCCTATGCAGTCCCGGCTTCGTGGGCTACAAGACACCGCCTCCACCTACGCAGTAGCAAAACATGTGCAGCGGAATTCATGGCTTGGAGTCGCGAACGCGGTAGAACATAGCCTCTGTGTGTAGTTCAGAGACATGGCTACCCAAAGGGCGCCGCGGGTGTGAATGGTTGGACCCCTTCATCCTCCAGGTCTCAGACAGACGTGGGAGAAAACCGTGTATCCCCCCATAGGCGAGATAACCGTAGTCGTAGGAATCTATATTTGCCTTTTACTTTTATCCTCGGCTGTATTGTATTGACATGGCGCCTTCCTGATGCAACATCATTGTCAGGCTTTGCATTGCGCAACGAGACCCTGTTTTGAAGTCTCAGCAAGACAATTGGTCTCTGTAAACACCACCGTTACAAATGGAAACTGAAGGGCGACAGTGTAAGACGGATTGACCCACAATAGCCGGATCTTCCATTATTGGGCGGCGCAGAGGGAGGAGGATGTCGTCAGAAAGATGACGCTGGAGCCCGAGGTACGTGTAGGCGTGTAAGTGAAATGCCGCTCGGCATAAACGATGACCCCCCAATCTGAAACGGCGATGTATGTGTCAACGTAACAGCCTATCGAATTGACGTTGGAATAGCCGACGATCAAATCATATCAGCATGAAAAACAAGGCATCAACAGAGTCGCAGTATATCGGAGAT